AGTTTATCACTTGAAGCTGAGCTAATATTACCGCCCTCCGCAATCCTCTAAGCAGATTTTATTATTTTTCAGCAATCACTTGGTACGAAAGAGTTGTTTCTTGGAAATAACTGACATAAATAAAATAACTACCATCAAATTATTCAGCAAAAATACTGAATGATTTATTGTTAAAAAAAAGTCATAAATTGGCTTAATGAATAAATAAGTACTCAAGTTTTGTCTTTCTTCCGTCAACTACTGCTTATAGATCGCAGTGTGGATATGCACATCAGACACAAGGCTCGGGAAAATGAGTCATGCTGTTTGTGAGTTAAATTTGTGGATTATTAGAATTTATAATTACTCCTTCTGATTCTAATTACAAAGACCTATTTCATTAATTCATGAAAATTCAAAAAACTAGTTAAGCTAATTATTTATCATTATTGTGTGAAAATTTTGTTTTGCTTTTCTCAAAATACCCCATTTTTTTTATGGTGGTGTCAAACGTAAGAGAAAATAAAGTTAAAAAAAAACTGCGAACTTAATTAAAATAATATGGGTAAAAAATATTAAATAAGGGAGACAGAGTAAACAATATCTTATATAGGTATTTATGATCAAACCTACACCTATCAATAGGAGGAAACATATATTATACGGTTACACTCCAAATTAATTGAAAGTAAGCAGTGGAATTTTTTTTTATAGAGGTAGAAAATTAAGACAAGAACAATTATGTTCTAATAATGCACGAAAGACATATTTAATTTTTAATATGCTTTTAACAATGAAAAGGGTCAACTTTTTGGAGGTGCATAAGTGACAAAGTAGAAGATTAAAGATTTGGTTACACATAATCACAAAACACAAATGCATGTTCCGGCTGCGCCAGATACATTGCATTGTGGAGAAGATATGACTTTTAATTTAAGCAGCTTTGTCGTATCCACGCAAGCTACCATGTTAAATTTTGGCTATTTTGTACTTTTCCTCCCTCAAACTCAACCCAGAATTGCACTTTAATACTCCTCCGGTCCTTATTATAAGATCCAATTTGACTTTTTATTTAGTCCTAATTATAAGACCCAATCTATTTTCTCTCTTATATTTATGCATTTTTTTTCAAGATAATCCTTCTAATAATGATAGTTTTAGCCAATATACTTAATTAGCAAGGATATTTTAGGAATAACAACACTTATTTATTATAAATAACCAACCTAACTTACTTCCTTAATCTCCTCAAATAAGTCAATTGGGTCTTATAATTAGGACCGGAGGAGTAAAACAATAATATTTGATTATGGTACGACGATAGGAGCACTACCAATTCTTTAATTCCTCTGCCCAGTTGTGTATACGCTACATTCACACCATTCTACTATTAGAACCAGGAATCTTATGGCAAAATCTAATGTTAGTAACATCACAACAAAATTAATATAAATATATATAATCATTGCGATGGAAGTGGTTTTTGCTGCTTCATTTTGTTGTTTTGAAACAAATCAACCATTTCATCATCACTGTTTTTCTGAATAAAATACGCTGAGACGGCGGAAATATGACTCTCTGCCGGAACGGCTTGTCGGGTATAAATAATTGAAGAATTCTTGGCTGCTTCATGCACGCACCCAAAAAAACAATTGTTATAAGCTGAATAGATTAAGTGTACAAATATGTTAGATATAAATATTATCAATAGTACTGGACACCTATCTATTCACAATTAATTTGATATGCTTGTACGTTTGTGTTAGAATTTGACGAAATTGTAAATTAAAAGCAGGTTTTGTCACTTTGTGCGTGTACCCGAAGCGGAAAAAACAGAGAAACAATTAGAGAGCAAGAAACAAGACTTTGGTAGGTAGAAAGTTGTAAAAAGTGAAACTGATTACGGATCAAATTCATTTACAAGCGAATAGGAATTCTGTTAAATAAGGGGTGGGGGAACACAGTAGAAATAATGGATTAGGAAAATGCTCTCGTCGTTATAAGCAGCGGGGATTATATTTTGGGGTTCGGAGGCGGTGGTCACGGAGGAGGAGAGAGACGGTCTCATCGGAGTCGGAAGAAGGTGCAGAAGGGCACGGCGGAGCTCAGTTCAGAGGAGGATGATAAGAAAATCCCTAATCTCTTTAGGGATTTGTTTGTGAAGAATTTTGTTAAGTCGTCGCATGATTTTGATGAAGCTGAGGAGGGTGAGTTCGATCGGGTACAGGATTTGAGAAGGTGCTTAATCCAGCTCAAGGGAAATAGGTGCTAAAAATTGATGTAGTTTAGGCATATTTATGTTTTATTATTTGTAATTAATTAGACAAAAAAAAAAAAGAGATATGGTTATTGATGAGAGTTGTGTAAGTTGTACAAATTAAGCTATGATTTAATGGCATAGTAACTTCCCGCAAAATCTGACCTTAAAAAATGCGGGCATAACGTGGGTTGTTACTTTGACCTTCATCTTCTGTTGAGAGTTTTCATCTTTTCTTGACTCGTTCACGATCAAAGGGGTGAAAAAGTCACACGGAAATATGTAAAGGGAGAATTTTGATATCGAGAGAAATGGCGGGTCAACTATATAATATACTGTTGAGTTCAGTTTTCTTGGGCAGTTCCCACTTCCCACAACTCAATCTAGTGTATATAGCCTGCCCTATCATACTCGGATAATGTAGTTAATTCAGTTCATCCTCCATTTTTATTTATATACAAATAAATCGCATCCACACATATATAGTTCTTTATTAGTTTTATAAGAAAATCGAAGAATATATTCCTGCATTTGTTTTGGCAGTTTGTAAGCAAAACACGATGCTCACCCACATGGATTTGCCGTGCAATTAACAAGGATGTCCTCGGTTAAAAAAAGCCCTCCAAATTAAATTATCATCACCAATCTATTTCAAGCGATGAGCACCTCTTTCCCAGGTGCATAATTACCGAGTTTTCGCAAATATATATAATTTTGGGAAAATATATATAAATAATTAAGTACGACATTTTTTTATTTCAAAACATATTACTCCTCCGGTCCTTAATATATAGAACCCAATTCTTGAGTTAGTTTTGGTCCTAAATATAAGACTCATTTCCCATATTTATTAATTTTTTTCCTAAATTACCCCTATGGATACTCCTTCAACCATAATCAAGTAGAAGAGAAAGAGGAGTATTAAGAAAGATGATTATGGTGTTTTAAGAAAAATGTGTCACTTTTATTAGAATTAATCAACTTACCTAACTTCCTTAATCTAATCAAATTAGTTAGATGGGTCTTATATTAAGGACCGGAGGAGTATTAATTATAGCGTGTTCAAACACGAGGGAATTTTGATTAATTGATATGGAAAGTCTCATATGGAATGAAATTGGGTTTAAGATTTTGAGTTAATATGTTATGTCTCTCCTATTGTTTTGGCTCATTCATCTTTTTCCTATTACTCATGAGAGTCCAAGGTCAGGTTTTACACAGGAATTTTGAGAAGGGAAATAAAAAAACATCATTGGAAGTTTGAAATGCACACAAACACACACACACACACGTTTGAAATTGAAAATTGAGATTAGCTTCATTTGCCCTTCAATAGAAACTCGTGTGCCCCATCATCTAAGACCAGGAAATTGTGTTGATTAGAAGGACTCATAATCCTGAATCTTACGATTTTGAGCTTAAATATGGTGTTCTCCACACTTCTTTGCCTATTTATTCTCCCTATTCGCTTTGGGTATTTTGTTGTTTGTTTCTTAACAGTTCGTTTGCGATTATTATTAGTATTTTTTAGTATTATTATCAACCCGTGACAGTCGTTGTCATCGCCTAGAATCCACTTAATTACCATTATTACGATTGCGTGTTACTACTAATGCTGACATACTTCAAGATCTCGAATATTATATTGTCTTTATGGTACAACGAAAAATCTGGCTAAATGGTAGTATAAAAGAAAATCAGTTTTAAAATAATCAAAGTATGATATTTAATTTTAAATAAGTTTAACAAGAAAAATGTCGCGAGTAGTTGAGAACAAATATATCTTTTAATTAAATAAACGATCCAGTAATTAGGATGAATGGGGGAGGATGCCGTTGTTGCATCAATAATCAGTTTACTGACTATTTAATATTGAAGTTAAAAATTGTTCTTCATAGCCCGCTTCTGAGATAATTGTAGGTGTTGTATTATTGTTCTTGTTTACCTATTTGTACGTGTGCGTGAGTGAGAATCTTAAGTACTTGAATTCTTTAAAAGATGATTTGATAACCATGTAACGGCTTAAATTGATTTAAATTTTAAATGTTTGAATAAAAATGACAAGAGACCGTCGAAATAAAAAATGGAAGACAATTCCAGAAATTTAAAAATCCAACCCATAGTTATTACCAAAATCACACATACAGATTATTGTTTGATTAAATTGTTTGCGGAGCCAGACTCAGATAAAGAACAACACTCTGAGGAAAGAAGGAATTCATCAAGAAATTATGGCTTATAATGAAGAGTTGTCTAAAACGCGTAAACAGATCAGCTACATTTTTTTTTTTTTATCTTCTTCAAAATTTCTTAAAAAGAGGAGAGGAAAATTTGGCGTTTAAAGTTGAAACTTTTAAAGGTGAATTTTAGCGGAGCGATTTATAAAAGGAAATGAAGCGATTGACCAGAAAGGGAGACAGAAAGCGATTTTATTTGGGGAGAGAGACACCCCCCCTGAAAGTGGGGGAGGGTTTCAAATCCTTCCCACGTCGCAGAACATGGAATTTCCATATTTTTGCCCACAAGCAATATTGTTTTGTCATCTCCTGATTTATTTTTTTCAGTAAAAAAAGAAAATCCTGATTTATTTATTTATTTCACTCATTCATAGTATTCATTGCATACTTAGCTCCTGTCTTCTCTCCCTCTCTTGTCTCCGGCCCACCTCCTTCCATTTTGTCCTATTCGCCTCTTTTCTTCCTTCTTTTTTTTCTCCCCTCTCTATAAATTAGAGGTCCTGCCCTGTTCTTTATCTCCCCTGCAATTCCTTTCTTTTTTCCATTATTCCCTTTTTCTCCTTCTTCTGCTGCTGCTCCTCCTCTCTGACTACATCACGGGAACAACAATGGAAGATTTTGGGTCGTTATGGGCCTTTGAATCGGAGGTGGGTCTTTCTTTGCCTGTTTTCCTTCATCTCCCTCCTTCCTGTTTGATCCTTCATTCAAAGTGTCTTCCTTTACGTCGGTTCTCTGTTTTTCAATGTCTTTAATGCCGACTCTTTCATTCGCTTCTCATAGAACTTAGTTTTTGCAATTGTCATTCCCTTTCACTTCTCTGGTTTCTATCTTTTTCTTCAAGCTTCAAACTTTCTGTTTTGTAAATTTCGCTGTTCCAGTTTTCTCTCTGCCATGATGAATAATACTACTGGACTGCGAATTGGTTTTGGTATATTCTTTCTGCTTCGCTCAATATTCGGACAGACTCCAGTACTGAAGAATAAACTTTTTCTGCTATTAATACTGGAGAATTGTGTCATGTGCGTGTATTGAGGACAAGGTGTGAACAATGGAAGATCTTTTTGAGAAATTTTATATCCTTCGGTCAGTCTTTGTTGTGTTTCTAGAATTTGCCTTTGGTTTGAAACTTCTTGAATGTGACAGAGCAGGCAGAAAAAGCCAGATATTTTTTTTTCCTTTTGATTTCCTTGATCCTACAGAAATCTTCGTTTTGAAAAGATGGGTTTGGTGGTGCCGACTCTAATTCTCAAATTTCTGATTTGTCCTTTTATTTTCCCACTGTACTAATTTTATTCTGACCCCGTTTTATCCCGTAATTTGCTTTCCATAATTTGAATAGTTTCCTATTTTAAAAAATCTTTCGTAATTTGCAAGTTTGGGAGATTCGTGAGATTTTATCGTTCTACAGGGACTAAAATTAGGGTCCAAGTTCATGACTGCAAAAGCCAAATCTAACATGATCCTCGTGTCCAACGCACCAAACGTTGTCGTTTCCCTTGGTCATTTATACCCTCTTTTTAAAAAAGAAAAATGTTTCTCCTGCTCAAAATTCACTCCGTAACGCCCACCCATGGTCGGTGGCTTGGTGTCAACCACCGCAAGATCTTTTCATTAAGTTCATCGATGAGTCCCTCATGAAACTTTACGATGGTGACATTTTGTGTTTCGGAATATGCAGAGCATTGAGGAATTGAAGCAGAAGCTTCTTCATTCGATGATCGAACTAGAATCGGCAAACAAACTCAAGATGGAACTGTTCGATCTCCTCAAGGTTGTATACCATGAAAGAGACGAACTTCGAGAAGCACTCATGAAAGTTCTTCACAAGCTAGCAACCACATCATCGCCGAGTGTTCCCGAGGATAATGTCATTCCTCCGGTTATTCGCGAAAGTCTGATTATGTTGCCCAACACAAAAGCGAACTCAAGCACCACTGAATCCAACAGTCTCTCTCACGGTTCTTCCGCGGTAGATTCCTTTCTGGACGCAGTTTCTTCTCCTGATTTCTCAAACATGAATGTTGCCGATTCCCGAAACGTGGGTTTTTTCAATTCTGAAAAGACCCAGCGTGATCCTGCTAGTGTGGTTATTGAGAATCTGATCAAAGGAAAAGCTCTGCCTCAAAAAGGAAAGCTGCTTCAGTCTGTGATGGAAGCTGGACCGTTGCTTCAGACTCTTCTCGTTGCTGGTCCGCTTCCTTGTTGGAGAAATCCACCTCCTATTCAACCCATTAAGCTTCCACCTTTCAGCATTAAGGACTTGGAATCCCCAGCTCTATACTCGAATTCTTCTGGGTTTCCGATGAAAGCTCTCGAGACGTGTTCTTCAGCTTCTATGATGAACTTTGCTATTAATAACGCTGTTTCTTGGCAGTCGACCTCGACTGCGAGTTTTAACAACCAAGTTCCTGCAAGCAAGCGTCAGAGGCTTTGACCAGTGATTTTGATGCAGTATCAATTAGTGCCTTTATCTAAACCCCTTTTGTAAATGGAGTTCGGTGATTGGTGTAAATGGCATACCCTTCTTTTGATTGATGTTTGAGTGACGTAGCCTTGTCGGTTTTCCCCGATGTTTATGTTTAGAGACAAAAAGCCAAATTTAGTTCTGATATGCTAATTCATGTTCTCTTCTCGACCATCCTCTGAAAGTACTATGCTAAATTTAGCTTACAGAGACATACAATTACAACATAGCTGGACAAGGAATATCTAGACTAAGTCGATATAATATATACAAGTTTGTCCGGCGCATATGTCAAGATATAGGCATAAAAGTATCTTTTTGCAATTTTGGTGACTTTGATATTATCTATCTAATACAAGAATCATTACCATATGTGAAGCCTTAAATTTATCTCCGATTCTTGTGTCGCTACGAGGATTTATGTACTTGGGCAAGAACGTTCCGTTGCTTAATCCTCCTGTTAGGCCGCGATTTACTGGATTGAAATGCTCGGCAAAAGCCTTATTCCCTTGAGCTCATAACGAGGGGATCATGTCATCCAATTCTGGCACGCCTGAGGATGATTCTTTCTTTTGGGAAGCACACAAGGTATCCTCAGTTGTGATATTCTCTGCCATCTTCATCATACTAACTTTCTACAGCATATTTCATTGCCTCTTCTATAGAACCGCTCCCACTAGTTCCTCTAGAAACCGCACTTCAAGTGGGGATTTGGACGAGCCCGACCCTGATGATCACTATTCTAGACAGATTCGAGGTCGTGGGTTAGAGTTGGGGGTCATATCGGCTCTTCCGATGTCTCAGTTTAAGAAGAACGAGGGAACCAACAGAGAGTGCGCGATATGCTTGGGAGAGTTTGAAGAAGAAGAATGGGTTAAGAGACTTCCTAGCTGCGCCCACGTCTTTCATGTTTCCTGCATAGCCACGTGGCTTCGGTCTCACTCAAGTTGTCCTCTCTGCAGATCTAATGTCAATTATGATCATCTCGCTCTTAACTTGGACTCCCCTGTTTCTTACTACACATCGCTACGCGAGACGCTAAACAGAGAAGGCTCTTCGGTGCCAAGGGCTTCACAGTTAGGCCGTCAGGCATCAACAGTACAACCCATCTCATGTTCCAATTGATTCGCTTTCGTTTTTATCATGCCTAAACTCTAACGTTAGTTTTCCTCTCTCTCTTTTTTCCTTTTTTTCCCCGGTTCATGGGATTGGATGGATTTTCCTATCTGATTTTTCAAATCCATAATTGCTTGCACCGACAAGCAACCATGGGAAGATAACATAGCAACGCCAGCATAGAAGTATCATTACAGTTGAGTATATTCGATCATGGAAGAAGATAAATAGAACTTCGCCAATCAAAACTTTCATGTAATATCCTAAAGAAAAAGTTAGGCATCGAATTTTAAACTCTATTATCAGGTCACGCTTTCCTTGCGCGGGTACTTTGTGAATCCCATCGACACGTTCGAAACCCAACCTCGCTTCATTTCCGTAAAATATAGCGTGGATTGAACAGGCACCTTTCAAATATCACAAACACAAACACAAACACGGATAACCATCTGGTGCCTTAGAGATCACGAATTTTTCATTTCTCACGAAATACCACACGAATTCCTCATCCGAAAAAAAAAACAAAGAAAGAAATAAACACCACAGAATTTTAAGCTAAAAACGCGAGGTCCCAGTCGGCTCATCCCTCCTATTGAATGAAAAGATCGTAGGCTCATTAAATCCACCAACTTAAAAAGTAAATTTCATGTCAAAATTGTAACCTGGAGTCTAGTTAATGACAATTGAACAGAAATAAAACAAAATATAGAACTCAACCATGTTTCGAAAGTCTCCTATGAATTACCTCTCCATGAAACTGCCTGACAACTTTTACAAGGAAAATAACAGAGGCGATGCAGGATTCACACTTAGATAATCCCAATTTTGTTTGCCACGTCCAATGCATCATAATCAGGAGTCAGCCTAACATATGCCTTCTTGGTGCCATCGGGCCTGTAATAGGATAAAGCAAATTTAGGGGAAATTGCAGCGAAGTTCCTCCACCAATCGATATAAGCTCAAACTAGTTCTCCAGGTAGTAATCTAATACAAACCCAAACAATTTTTCACCACTTAAGCAAAAGAAAAATCCTAAGATTATAACTGCAAGTAAAGTTGTAAACACTATGCCAAGCACTTCAAATTCTTTCCTCATATATATTAATAAACAACCAAAAACCTATAAATGCCAACACATATCTAACTTGAACGACAATAAAAGAGAAAATATGGCAAGGGGCAATATGGATCATAATTAGAAATGCTTCAGAGTCAACTGATTATCGTTAAAGCCTCAGTATGCAAAGGCTCACCTGATCAAGGTGTTTACTTTCTTGGCTTGAATGTCATACATTTTCTTCACGGCATCCTTTATCTTCTTCTTGTCAGCACGTAGGTCAACAATGAAAACCAAAGTGTTGTTGTCTTCAATCTTCTTCATTGCAGACTCAGTAGTGAGAGGGTACTTCAAAATTTGATAATGATCGAGTTTATTCCTTGGTGGAGCACTAATACGAGGGTACTTGGGATTCCTAGCCTTTTTCAAAGTCTTTGGCCGATGGAATGTAACAGAGGTTCTGATTTTCTTGGCCTTCTTTTTGAAGGCAGGGCCTGACTTGACTGCTTTAGCAGTTTTCAAGGCCTGCGCCTTTGGATCAGTTTTCTTCGAACTATCAACTGAAAAAATGGCTTGAATCAGTCACAACAAGAACTCCAGCAACAATTAACTTTTTAAATAATGAAAATTCTAGAGCAGCCATTGCAAAAATCAATGCCAATAGTACTTGACGCATCAACCGTACAATGAACAAGAATATCATCAACTGCACTCTATTGCATTACAATCACTTCTCCGTATCCTTGCTGAAAGGATATAATGAAACTTAAAGTTGTTTACTTTATCACTTGAAGAAGAACAGAAGAATTTAAATCAACCATGCGAACAAAAATAAAAGCATATAATCTTAACTGGAAAAAAAGTACAATGTAAAGACAACTAGAACACGCAGAAGTGACGAACATAAAGCTGGGCATGGTCTCGAGATCGAGAGAGTTAACAATGTCGACAGAGGTGCTGAAGCAGTGTGAGCATTATAAATAATACTCACTTATTAACTCATACGAACGTTGACTTTTGCCTTTAACAGCTAAATCTATTACAAGCCCATCAAGGATAATAAAGTGCTGTGAAACTAGCCTAGAAAAGCTTGCCAAGGCAATGCTGTCAAAAATATCATTCTTCAACAATAATAATTGCAAAAGGAACGAGATATTTCCGCTAAGCTAGGCAGTAAAGATTAGATATCCGAACTAGTTAATCAACTAACCCAACTTTTCACCCAAATCAACATCAAACTTCACAAAGTCTGTACCCATGCATTTACCCTGAAGAGAATTTACGTGAATGTAAAATAACTCCCGTAGAAAATGCAGGGACAACTAAGGACAGGCACATCCCTTCTATTTGTTAAATGAGAAAATTCAATTACTACGTCATTATATTCGGCCGAATTTGAATATCATTGGTGCAAACCGAATGTTGATATGAAAAGTGGGGCAAATACTCGGTAGTGACGAGGGAAATACCTTTGCTAGGAGCCATGGGTTGCTGAAAATGATACTCGACCTATTCAATGCTCCAACCCTAAAAGAAAAAGTTGTAAGAATCAACAGTCGGAAACTGGAAAACAGAAGATCATTGGTAGTTAAATCATTCAAAATCCGCCATCGCACCTGCGCTAGAGTAGCAGCCGTCTAGGGTTGAGGTTGAGGAGGCGCCAGGATTATATGGACGGTGCTAAATTATGCATAGCCCGGCCCAATAAACAAGTACGGAGGAGATTGAAGAATGGGCCTTCGAGTCTATTTTGGGTCTATAAAAGTCAGTAAGCTCATTTTGTATTCCAATTTCCCTCCACGCATGGGTAGAGCCGGTAATATGGGTTGAACCCGCGGGTTCAACCCGCCAACCCGTCAAAAATGGCGGGTTAGGGTTGGCTAAAAGCCAACCCGCCAGTAAACAAGCCTTTTTAACCTGCACCATCAGGCCCGCAACCCGCCGCAGGTTAGCTCGCCACCCACGGGCTAACCCGCATTTATTTTTTTTTTATTTTTTTTAAAATTTTTTAATTATTATAATTATATTATTATATAGTATATCCTATCTAAAAAAATATATAAAATACTTATATAATTTATTTGATGCTTTTAATCAAATATTTCAAGAAAAAAACAAAAATTTTATTATTATTTTTAAATATTATATAAGAAAAAAATTAAAAAGTAAAAAAAAATCAAAAAATAAATAAATAAGTGTTGGCGGGTTAGAGTTGGCTAAAAGCCAGCCCGCCTTCAAACGAGCCTTTTCAACCCGACCCGTCACAGGCTCAACCCATCACGGGCCAACCCGCAACTCTCGGGTTGGCCCGTATTACCAGCCCCACGCATGGGTATCTTCTTATTTGTGGCAATTGTATTTGAGATATTGTTAGACATTATATATGAGCATTTCTTTTAATAAGATTTGAATTTTCATTCATTAAGTTGTGAAAGACTAATCCTTTGATTAGACCCAATCTTGCTTGTCCGCATTCCAATTATTTGGTACGGCTAGAAAATTTCACTTTCTCACTGACCAAAAGATGAACTGTTTTTACCAGGTCCAGTAGATGGATTATAGGTGCTTAGTTAACAGGTCTCACTACTCGTTACATCAAAGTGTGCTAAACATGGTACCCTTTTTTGTTTTTTGAGCAACACAACAAGATATCTTTGGTAGAAATTTTCTCTTTCAGGAGAAGAGAGCTAAGGATCATATCACTCGTATGCATAAGCTTCGGATCATTTCAATCATATCCGATGTTCCTGAAGAGGCATCACAGCCTCTGATCGATAAATATGTGAGCCTAATAGTGTATAAAAGTTACTTGATGTTTCGGCTTCCGGGTTTGGGGGGGGAAAAAGGAGTGATTATTTAATGTTGATGGAAAATAATGACTATATACTGCTTTCTGTCTTTAATATAAAAACTAATTTGATATTCAATTTGGTTATAAATACAAAATCCGAATCTACTTTATTTATCACGTTTATCTATTTTTTTCTAAGATAGTCCTTGTAGTAATTGCACATATTAAATATTTCATCAAATGATAGTTCTAACTAATACATATGATTCATAATAATATTTTAGGAAAAATAACATATATTTATTACAAATAACTAACTTAACTATTTTTTTTAATTTATTCAAATTAGCTCTTATATTAAGGATATGATATAGTACATATTACATCAATTGTACCTTTAAGAATATACTACTTCCGTTCTTTAATACTACCTCCGGTCCTAGTTATAAGAGTCAGTTGATTAATTTGAAGAGATTAAGGAAGTAAGTTGAGTTAGTTATTTGTCCTAAATAGGTGTTGTCTTTTCTAAAATATCCTTACTAATCAAGTATATTAACTAGAACTATCATTGTTAGAAGGGCTACTTTGGAAAAAAAAATATAAAAATATGAGAGACAAAGTGAATTGGAGCCTTATATTTAGGACTAAAATAAAAGTCAAACAGAGTCTCATATTAAAGACTGGAGGTAGTATAAGATCTAGTTGACTAATTTATGGAGATTAAAGAAGTTAGTTAAGTTAATTATTTGTAGTAAATAGATATTATCTTCCCTAAAATACCCTCATTGATCATATATGTTTGAATTACCTATTATACCAACTTTTTAACATATGCAACTACTATAGAAATTATTTGAGAGCAGAATAGGTAAATATTGGAAATAAAATAGACTAGAGTGGTATATGTAGGAGTAAATTAAAATTCAAATTAAAGAACTGAGGCGGCATAATTTCAGCATATAATACAAATAGTCTCTAGTGTAAATAGAAGTCCACTTTTTATTTTACGCGTCCGTAGTACATATAGATTTCAATCGCACTCTTTCTGGTTTATTTTTCATAAATAAATCATCACTGATGACAATAAGGCCATGTTTCAAGCTCATCAGCTATCAACATTAGGTTTCTAAAAATAATAAATCTAAAAACTTCTCTGCCGGATTTTCGCCCTGTACATGCAGTGATGCTGATTGGCGCCCCTTGCGGTAATTTTTGTCCCCTCAGGTAAGGTGTCCATGTTTTTAACTTAAATATATTATACTTAAGAAACAAAGTGGAAGTCCAAAGAAAACTAACCCCGGGGGGGGGGGGGGGAACCTCCTGTGATTGGAAACGTTCCAGTAGCAAAGTGAATACACAATCTTCACAAATGAACATTAAATGCTTCACACACATCTTTCACTTGAAGAAGAAAATCTTGGCTATCTCTTTGACTATGTATTGCTATTAAGTTGACCCTTTTTTACCGGGTAGGTCTTTGTTATTTACAATAGGATTGATGAATCCGGCTACGGGTGATTGTATATCAGAACCGTACACATGACCCATTTTGGTTCGTTTTGTTTCCAAGTACCTCTTGTTTTCTTCTGTGATTGGTGTCATCACAGGAACCCGCCCTACCACTGCCAAACCATAACCCCTTAGTCCAACGAACTTTGCTGGGTTATTTGTCATTAACCTCATTGTTCGGACTCCTAAATCCCTCAGAATCTGCGGTTAATTAACATCAGTATCAGAATATGCAAATACTAATGTAAATCTTGATAATGTGAGGGAAGAAGAAGAAGAAGAAGAGAACAGACCTGGGCACCAATGCCATACTCACGAGCATCAACAGCTAAGCCAAGGTCTAAGTTGGCTTGAACAGTGTCACGACCTTGATCCTGCAAGTTATAGGCCTTGAGTTTGTGACCAAGTCCGATGCCTCTCCCTTCATGACCTCGAAGATACACAATCACTCCTCTCCCGGCTTCCTCAATTAACTTCATAGCCAACTCTAACTGGTTCCCGCAGTCACATCGAGCTGATCCAAATATATCCCCTGTTAAGCACTCTGAATGCACTCTCACTAGCACATCCTGCCCATCTCCTATCTCTCCCTGTGCATTTATGTCTCAGAAACTCACATGAAATTTACACGAAACAACGGATCAAAGACAATATGTATCGCATATATGGAGGTACCTTCACAATAGCCACATGTTCAGTTCCATCCAATTTAGAGTGATAGCAATATGCTTGAAATAGGCCCCATTTAGTAGGGAGGCGAGAGAAGCTTGTTCTTTCAACCAGTTTTTCTCGCTTTCTCCGGTACCTTGATGATGAATATGATGATTAATTTGTTATGCTGCATCCAGCTTTGGAGGCAGCCAAGTGTAATAGAACAATCATAGAACTTACCTTATCAAATCAGTTATTGAAACAATTGGTATGTTGTTTTGTAATGCCAAGTTTTTAAGAACAGGCAAGGGAGCCATAGAACCATCAGTTACATCAACAAGAGCTGAAAGAAGAGAGACAGGCCTCAAGCCAGCCATGGTGACCAAATCTACAGAAGCCTCAGTGTGAGCTGCTCTTCTGAGAACACCACCATTTCTGTACTTGAGGGGAAACACATGACCTGGCTTTCTGAAATCTCCTGGTTTTGAGTCCGGAGATGACAGGGCAATAACTGTCTTTGCTCTATCTGCAGCTGATACGCCCGTGGAAGTGTCAACTTTTGCATCCTGAACACACGCAAGGACAATAATATAAATGGTTTCGTTTGTTGCAGCAAGCTCACAAGTGGGTTTTGAAGACTATGAAGCATACCACAGTGATAGTAAAAGCTGGGGCGGAAGAATCCTCAATTTCAGAATCAGGAGACATGAGAGGAAGCTTCAGTCTTTGAAGATCTTCATCTTTCATGCCCACAGAAATAATCCCTGATCCGTGATTTATCATGAAGGCCACATGCTGCGGACTAGTCATCGATGCCGCCATTATAAGATTCCCTTCAATCTCGCCATTTTCGTCGTCTACCACAATCACAAACTAGCACAAATTCCCAGCACTTGGTTAAATCAACCCTTCATTCTTTTACTATTCATTGCCACGCATAAAACCAATGCCTTTTATTTTTCTCTGTTCATCATAAAGTGATTTCTTTTAATAGTTGTGTGAACAAAACACAAACAAGTACAGGTGTACATGTAGAATCTTTGAGAGGCAATGAGAAAATTATAGTAATATGAGACCAACCTTTCCTTGGCGTAGTGCATTAAGTGCCTGCTCAATCGACGAGTAACCTTTGGAGGGGCAATCTGGATCGCCTTCTGCATCACTCACAAAGAAATCTGCAGTTTCTGGTGTGATTTCTGCGTCTAATGTTCCAAATGGTTCTGAAGCTGACTCATCAGTCGCACCTAACACTGACCCGTTCTCGTTCTTCTTCATGCTGCTTTCACCGTATGAGTTTCCCACTCCAACTTCACAAACCCCAATCCCACACAGCCTTTTCTTCCACAGGCCATTTCTTGCACTCTGAATTGTCAAGCAAGAGCGATGCAAGCTGCCACACAATATTCATGCTATCCTTAAATTTAAAGCTCCCATCAGAAAAGCAAAAAGATCGAAAAACTACCTTGAGCTGTAGATGACGCGGGAGATTAAGAAGCGAGGGAATGAAGCAGAATCCATCAGCTTAGACTTGAAAAAATTGCAGTGCAAATTCGTTTATTTAGTTTTTATCGTTTAACTTCAACTTCCTTTTCAGGTCACTGGGACCAAAACAGTAGCAAAAGGGAAAAATGAAACGAGAACCACCGCAAGTTGTGGTCTTGTGAACTCCTTTTTTGCGGAAGGAAACGTTATCCTATATCTACAACAATTAATGTTCTTAGGCTCTGAGCCACAGGCTAACACAACTGGCGTGGGATTATCGTATAGCTCACACCTACACGATTCTGCTGAACACCAGAAGGAAGCAAGATAAACTGAAAATTGCCAACCGTACGTGCTTTGTCCTTTTGGTAAGACTCCAACTCCGTTGTTGGATACGGATGCACTCAGTTTTTTGTTTCCTTTTAAATTTGACGTTGTACAAATACGTGCGTCACATGCAAACCAATAATCATCATCGATTCATTTTGTATAAAAGAAATTCATTGTCAATTCATTTAATTTAATACAAGATCTAAAATTTAATTAAATAATGCAACTTATTCTTACAAACAAACAATTTAAGAACAATGTAAGGATGATTAGACCTGACATAGAAAGGGGGAGGTGTGAATAAGGGACCGCTTGGTTTAATCAATTAAAAAATTATTTCTAATAGTGTAGAAATCAAGATATGAATATTTTATTATATTTTTGTCATCATTACTCAATACTAATTTTTTCATATAAATATTTAACATATGATATATTGGATTAAATCTAAAAGTTGTCAAATCTAATTAAAATAAAATTTCCTAACTTGATTTTTCTATGTATGATGTTTAAACCGTCAATTATAATTATGTTTTTTTTTCTTATTACCTTTTTTTAGGGGCCTGAGAGACAGTTCACCCGTAAAATCAAAATGTTCATTTTATTCCATTTCTTTCTGTCAAGCAAATGGGCTCAAAAATTCGAATCCGTACTTTAAGAATGAGAATCCAACCCCGCGATGTTTACAAACCTGTGGATCCATGAAGCGCTAGCGGGCATGGCCCGTTTCGGAGGACCCGCCAGTTGGGCCCATCAGTCAAACAAAGAACAGTCCGTCTCAATCCGAGAGTCGTTGAAGCGTTCAGTCGAGGCGGAGGCTGATGTGGCAGCCCAAGGTGTGAGAAAGGCGCGCCGGAGAAAGCGAGATGCCTGAGGCTGAGCCAATCCCTTTCTGTTCTGTTTTTCGCACTCTCAGTCCCACGTTAACAGTCTTGATGGAAAAATCAGAGCACACTTCTCCCTTTGTCTGATCTCTCCAAGCCCAGTGTCCCGCGCTATCCACTTCTACTTCGCGCCACTTTTTTCTGGCCGGGTTCTTATTCCCTGGTTTTCGTATGTTCTTTGTGCGTGTCATTCTTGGGCTATGGCGGGATTAACCTCTTCTCTAGCAGGTGATTGGAGAGAGAACAGGTTATGTAAAGGAATATTTGCGGTGTCGGGAATCATGGTCACACTCGTCACCTACGGTGTTTTGCAGGTTTGTTCTATCGACGTCTTTTTCTTCTCATCCCTCCCTGCTTTTTTTTTTTCCCTTCTCATTTTGCAGGTTTAAGTTCACGAATCTGAATCCTTTCACAGAATGCTGATTTGGCTTGTTTCTTAGGATTTGAACCGTAGTATTGTATTCGATTATTAATTACATATGCTGATTTTAACGACTCTCGCATTGAATTTGATATATATTTTTTTTAGCACATTTTTGTCTGGATCCAATAATTTATTGAATCGTACTGGTTATCCATTTATTTCTGGTAAACTTGACCAACCCAAGCGCGAACTCCTAGTGTGGTACATGTAGCATGTTCATGGATTGTTTGTTGTTTAGGCCTAAAAAAGAAGTTGCCGAAATACCATAGGCGGTTCTATTTGAATAAATGTCTCATGAAGACATTATCTGTAGACCTTTTTTTTTTTTTTTTTTTTGAGTGAATGGAGAAACTTTGGTGGAAAAAATAAGCTTGACTAGCCTTCATTAAGAAGTCAGTAACGTTGTTGTTAAGTATCCTTTTAAAATCTTAATACCTCTTAAAGGTTGTTTGGCTGTATAATGTATGTGTAAACATGTCATAAGTGGTTCGCACAAATTAGATTAAGCTCTTCCTCAACCATTTGTTTCTGCTTTAATCTTTACTTTCACTTTACTTGCAGCTTCTTTTTGTCTTGTTCCTTGGATAATAACAACTCTTTGGTTTTCCATAGTTTAACATTGAAAAAAAAAAATCAGTTCAATTATATATATGTATATTTTGTTCTTGCAGGAAAAGATCATGAGAGTCCCTTATGGGGTAGATAAGGAGTACTTCAAGTACTCTCTGTTTCTTGTTTTCTGCAACCGTCTCACAACAACTGCTGTTTCTGCTGGTTCCTTACTGGTAAGCTGGTCTTATATGGGATAATACTGTCATGTCCGTGCATAGCTTTAATTTGCTGGTTTGACTGCAGAAACGCAGTTGGTTGTGTCACGCTTTGTAGTGCTCTAAATTACAGCCTGCATTTGTAGAGTTTGAATCATCTGTGACTTTATAATTTTCAAATTTTATTATAGGCAAGTAAAAAAAAATTAACTCCAGCAGCTCCTATTTACAAGTATGGTGTTGTGTCAGTAACAAACATTCTGACCACAACTTGTCAGTATGAGGTAAGCTGCATTCCTGTGTATCAATACATTTTGAAGTTCATATAAACTTGCTATCCTTATCAGTTATAATTGATGACCATAATGCCTGATCCAGGCCCTTAAATATGTCAGTTTCCCTGTCCAGACTCTTGCAAAGTGTGCTAAAATGATCCCGGTTATGGTAAGTCAAATTTTAGCTTTGTAATGTTTCAGCTGCTTCTTATCATGATTATTCTACCCATTAATATTGAATTTCTTCAATCGTGAGAAATGTGACTCTTAGCTGATTGGTGTATTTGGTATATCACCAGTCCAGTCCCTGTTGTTTTGGTCATATAATCCTTGATTTGTATTATGATTCATTTATAGTGTGATTTTGAATGTAGTATACGGAAGAGACAGTTTCTTGAGGAATCTAGATGTGTTGTGAGGATACAAACATGCCAAACTGTCTTGTTCTTGATTTCATAGACTCCATTCCCTCCCAGCTTTTTTCTGGATCAAAGATTAGATAAAATCTTTATGCTTTTATTTTATTTCACCCTGTTTCAACATTTTTCATGGTTCATTGATATCTTCCACTGAAGTTTTTTGCTCTCGACTTATTTAACTCTGCATTTATATTTTACACAGATCTGGGGCACTATTATAATGCAGAAGAGATATGTGGGACATGACTACTTCTTGGCGTTTCTGGTGACCCTGGGATGCTCAATATTCATCCTATATCCTGTAATTATTTTTGTCTTTGGTCCTTAAGTTCCCCCCCCCCCCCCTGCTGGTCTTTGTTCTTTCTGCGTTTGGTTGATTTCTATCAAAGAATCAACAATGAACGCCTATATGGCAATATGCACCCAAAGCTACATGAATGGATTTTCCCCACTAAATAGTAGATCGTTAAAAATGAAACAAAACTTACTAAAATAAGGTTTTCATATTATTCTTAATGAGTCTAGGAGCCAATACCAATAACAACATTTTGCCCATAAGGAAAAAGAATGTTAAATTCTTCTTCTTAAAAAAGTCTTGGCATTTTTCAACATAACTTTGGACCTAGAATTTGTCGTGCTAAGTCCATTTAGAGCCAATTAGGTTAGTAAAGTGCCAGAAGTTTCAAAATCTTCTTTTTCAATTATGGGTTACTATTCATTTGGTTATCTCTGGATTTTTCACTTAAAAAATTCATAACTTTTTTCTAGGAAGATCCTATTCAGGTGTTCCTTGGCTTGATTTAAAGCTCTTGACAAGGCGAAAAACTTCCTGAAGGAAACTTAGGGATAGCAGGCTTGGCAGGTTATATAGAGTTCTCTCTCCCCAACTTGTATTTTCTTATTTTAAAAATGGGAAAACCTGAAATTTGATTGGACCGCTGGCCATTGCAATAGACTGCAGTGGACTGTCCACTTGGTGGAGAGAAGCCATTGAAGTGCCATAGCATCTAGTCAACAGGATGTTTTATGCTTCCAAACGGCTAATTAATGGAGAACAATTAGTTTCAGATGCCTTAGTCCCACACTGAATACTGTGGGGTGCTTAAGTGAGTTGGTTTTCCATTCTACATAGATGCTCATCAAAGGAATAGGATGAGGGGGATAGAAAAATTTGAGACCAAGGGGGTGATATTGTTGTAGAATATATTTTTTATTTGCTTCTGCTCGATTGATCATTCAATTGATGATACGTATGAACTTCAATAATTGAGGAGCATTATTGTAATAAACTAAAATAATTCGTTTTTCATGTAGGCAGGGCCTGACATAAGCCCATATAGTAGAGGAAGGGAAAATACTGCTTGGGGCGCTTTCCTAATGGTTGGTTATCTTGGGTATGACTACAAAACTAATCCTTCTTATTTTGACGAGTGATTTAATATTTATTTGTAAAAAAATTTTAAACATGAATACTGCCTTTGCTCATAATGACATGTACTATTTATTTGTTAAACCATTCTCCATGGTGGGGGAAATGCGTAGCTTACTTATACAACTGGGAACCACCCCCCCCCCCAAAAAAAAAAAAAAAACACACGCACACCCCTCCCCCCAAAACACAAAACAATAACCCAGTGTAAATCATTCTAAACGCTTGTTGGTTTGACTGGTAATGATTTGAACTCTGAAGTAAGCATGCTATTCTTAAGCCTCATCTAGTCAGTGAGTTTTTACATTCTTTCATATTAATACTCATATAACTAATTTTTCTTCTTTTACCAATTAACTTTGAGAGCGTGCTATCAAAAGTGATTCACATGAATCTCTCAATGTATAGATATTGATTTGTTCATCTTTAATAGGTTTGATGGGTTTACAAGTACATTCCAAGATAAGCTGTTCAAAGGTTATGACATGGAGATACATAACCAGATATTCTATGTTACTCTATGTTCTTGCGTTCTTAGCCTGACAGGTTGGTTTTGGATGGTTGCAGAAACTCTAGTTTTAAACAATTCTTGTCATATGCATATTATATCTGTGCATTTTTAATGAAAAATTGTTCTTTTTTTTTTTTTTTTTTTTGAGGATGAAAATTCATTGTAGATTGGTTATTTAAGAATTCTGGATGATATTTGGAAACCTGAAGTGTTCAAGGAATTTATTCTCTACAATCTGCAATAACCTAGAAGGTTCATCAATAAACTCCAAGCATTCGGAATGAGAAACGTTCTTTAGGTGTTAGAAGAACAATGAAAGCACATGTTCACATGTTCTTGGTTAAACTTTTTTTTTTTTTGTGGTGTTTTTAATATGGGATTTTATTTCCTATAGCCAGAATATTTTGGCTCGTATTCACAACTGTTGCATGGTTGGAAAGTCATTCTTATAACATTTGATATTTTTTATATAGGTCTTATCTTACAAGGACATTTAGTCTCAGCAGTCGAGTTTGTTTACCGCCATAATGATTGTTTCTTTGATGTAGCATTGCTTTCAACAGTAAGTTGGCTTCCTCCTGCTGTAAATACTACTGCCGGTCCTTAATATAAGAGTTAATTGACTAATTTGAGTAGATTAAGAAAGTTTGTTAAATTAGTTATTTGTAATAATTACGTATTGTATTCCTTAAGATACTCTTGGTAATCATGTATTAGCCAAAACTACTATTTAATTTAACCTTTAACATGTACAACTATTACAAGGATTATTTTGAAATAAATAAATAAATATAAGAGACAAAGTGGAGTAGAGTTTTATATTTATGATCAAATTGAAAGTCAAACTAGCTCTTATATTAAGGATAGGAGATAGTATAACCAAGTGCTGATAATGTTGTCTATTTTTTTTTTTTGGGAAAATATAACTTTTAATTGTTGAAACTTTCTTTAAATTATTGATTCACTCCTTGAATTAACTAAGTCAATAATTGAGGAAAAATTCAAGAACCAAAAGTTATATTTCTCCCTTCTATTTTAATTTGATTATTTGAATAAATTATCATATCATACTGCTTTTCTCCCTACAGAAAAAACTTTACTTTTTCTTTATCCTTAATCCACTAAAAAATTTATTTTATAACGTGGAATTTTGCAGGTTGCCACTCTTAGTCAATTTTTTATTTCATACACAATTCGCACTTTTGGTGCTCTGACGTTTGCTACTATAATGACTACAAGACAGGTAAACATGGCTTTAAAATCAAATCACATTATCCTGCAATTATTCATCTGATTAATGATTTTTCATTTCAACTGCCTTAGTTGGTAAGCATTATGCTGTCATGTGCGTGGTTTGCCCATCCTCTTAGCTTGGAACAGTGGTTTGGAGCTGTAAGACCCAGTTTTACTTTTTCCAAGCATTTTGTTTAAAGAATCTTATGAAAAACGTAGTAACGCTTGTTCATAATCAGGTCATTGTCTTTGGCTCCCTTTACGCCAAAAGCTTCCTGAAGAAAGCACCCCAAAAGACCCCATCTTCAGAACCTGTACAAAGCGAAGGTTCTAATGTAAAGTCAATTCCATGACAGGACATGTCTTCTCTGACCTGTACCTGGTACTCTGTCTTTATTTGTGAGGCAGCTCCAGTTATAGGTTCAGTACGGCACCTTCAAAGTCTCATGTCATGGATAGCAGGTGGTTTGTCATAAAATCCCACGTCACCCGCAGCAGTAGGTTGTTTGTTAGCACCGTCATAACAATAGAGAGCTCAAAGGACGTTAGCCCCTTAATTTTTCCGTTTGGCGGCCCCACCCCCCCCCCCCCCCCGCGGGGGGGGATCAAATATTGACTTACTGACGCCAAACGAAAGCTTTACGGTTTGGAACGTGGGCGTTTGCTCTAGCATCTTGTTTATGGGGCTGGGTTTCCAGAATGAGTATAAAGGAAAGAAGATTTGTGATGTCCCAGGTTTGTTATTCATTTAAATAATTTTTGTTTTCAATTGGCAATGCAAATGATGCCAGAGATTAGTTTGTAAGATATGCACTGGTTTGGGTTTCCTGTGGTATTTATCTGTCCGAGAGAATTTTGGCTAAATGTTTTGATATGACAAAATAAGTGAATCAGGCCAATCAGTATTTGCTTGCTTGGGCAACTTTGCTGTTATGGACGCGCACGAGGATGAATACAGGCTCCGACTCTGATCCATATGTAAATTTTAGTTATTTGAAACTGGTAAGTAATCTTCCTTAATCGATTGCCGCATTTCATCTTTTCGAATCTTCTTTGGCAATCGTGGCGGGGCTCTACTTATCCATTTGGATGACTATCATACACGATTTCAATTTTTTCCCCCGAAAGAGATTAAACTTGGAACAAAAACAAAAAATCAATACTTGTTACCCCGACTTCATAATACGCATACTGGGAACGAATACTGCAAGAATTCCGGATGCGACAACAATATTATAACTTCTTTGGTGCCTGCTGACCTGATACCTTTCAATTTAGCGAGAAAATAACAGGGAAAGTGCCTGTCAGAAGGTTAATGGCGGGGGAAATTCAGTGATTAACAAATGCTTGTTTGTAAAATCGCATCAAACTGCATCTCATCATCCCCATCTCCGCCCCCTAATCCTCGGATAAAGGTTTAATTGCCGCATTGCTCTGAAAAACTTTTTGTACAGTAAGACACTAACATCAAATTTGGCTGCTGGATGCTAATCATGTCACAAACTATCATTGCCAAAGAGCCCTTCACTTTCCTCCACAGACTTCTCACTCTTTTCGCTCCTTTGACTAGTAAAGCAACGTCTTTCCGCCATCAGACAGTCGTTCCAACAGCCTCGTTAAAGGAGCCAACAGTGTGCAAATTTTCTCAGCCATGTACCCGCAAGGAAGCTCGCACGAAGACTAAGAACAGTTTGAACCATGTCTCCAAGCACTTCCCATACTAGTTACCCTGCACTTGAAAATGAAACACCTTCCCTTTACCAACCTGTTCTCACAGATACACAAATTACAACAACAGACCGACCAGCCTTGCGCTAAAGTTCTGGGGGGCCACCATTAACTTCAGCCATTGAAGAGTCAGGGTTATCAGCAGAAGCTATTCTAGCAAGAGTTAGAAGATCTTTTCTAGCGTTAGATGCATCACTTGGACTGCCAGGTGAGTCGCACGACCCAACTTGTCCTCTTTGCTTATCTTGGACTGAATTGTCAGTAGCATCAGCTGCTGCTTTAACGTCCCTAGCTGTGCGGGCTAACCTTGCTTTTCGATTATTCAACCTGACATGATAAACATACAAACGTGAGTTTTACACAAATCAGACCAGATATATCCCTATATCTGATTAACATATAACGGGCCTCCATGAATAATTTCATCAGCTTAAATGTTGAAGAAACCTATTAATATTACACTTCAATATTGTGCTCTTACACAGCAGGCCTCAACAATCGGATTCTAGTTTCTTGACGCTAAATTGGCTTTCAAAAAAAAAAAACAAAAAAAAGAGGGAAAAAAACCAGTACCAAATATAGCTTCTCAATCAGATACAACTTACACGAGATATTTACTTCTTATACAGCCAATTCCATGTATCAACCATGGTGTGAACAATCAACTTACCACATACTTGATGAGTAAATATATAAAATGAGGCATTCTTACCAATTTTTAAGCTGCGAAGATGTAACCTCAGAACCCTGCAAAAAAAAAAAGCAGGACAGTCAGATGGAGCTAGGCTAATAAAATAGTCCATATATGTGTTGGGTTGTATTTCACCTACATAGAGACTTAATTTCTCTGCCCATAATTGTAGTGCAGCTGCATTTCGCTGCATTTCAGGATCATCCAGCAGTGCCCTCTCAATCATTGTCACCTGTTTATCATTCATTATATTTCTCTTTCGCTTCCTCCTCTGTACAGTGTCAACCTTTTCATCCTCAGGATTGTCTCCAACTCCAACTTTTTTAACATTATCACTTGATTTTGAGAGCTCAATGTTGTCAATGTGATCAATAACATTCTTTCTTTTTGCAGAACTAGCATCTGAACCACTCGTGTCAACATTCTGAGTATCCTTGTCCATTTCTACTGCATCTCCAGATGCAGTCTTACTAGATATACCTTTATCTTCTGCTAGATCTTGCCTATTCATGTCATCACCTTTACTTATGTCTGCAGCCCTGCTATTAACTTGGTCTGCACCCGGAACTGCAGAATTTTCTGAAACTCCTTCCTTTAAGTTACTACTCTTCTCATTAAGATTAGTAGTTTCCTTTCCTAGCAGAGCTGACGAGCATCCTCCTGTACTTTGAGCCTCCTAAATGTAACCGAACTTTTGTCAATGAGAATGTAGAGGACAAGCAACTAACTAATTATGTTATTCTCATTTACGAGTAGCCATATAATGTGGTAAGTAAATGATTTTAGGGTTATTATTTATTAAAGAAAGAATTTAAGCACAAACCTGATAGTGTTCATTGATGTTGAGTTTTGAAAACTTATCCAAGGACAATGACTCGTCAGCTTTGTTATCCTGAGTTTTCCAGTAGAATGATTTTGAAACATTTAAAACTGATTAAGCAAGGCCATGAGTAGAAGGGGACATAACTATTACAACGAAAAATTAAAAGGAAATTCAAACGGAACCAGAAATAAAAACCGCTCAGAATACAGGACAGTGTTTTACTTGAATACGGTTTTCTCCGGATCCAACAGAAGTAAGTAGTGATTGTAATTCGCCAAAAAACACCCTGCAAACAATTTGGGTATACAGATATTCGTTTAGACATGAAATATAAGGTTGTCCTCAGGAACTACATGATCCGACTATATTTGTGTATCTGTTTTCAAGCAATGCTCTTGTGATATCAAATGCACGACTGAAAAAAAATTTCTTTTAAATTTAAAGGGAGGAAGAGGTAATCAATCAGCTCAGATCAAACCCTTTCCCAATTAGATTCAAGTGGCATATGGTGCCACCAGAATCTGCTCCGATGCTTGAGCACTAATCATGGGATCTGTTGACGGTATATTATTCACCGGTGAAAGTTTGAAGAAACTATTTGAAATTAATTAAACTGAAGTTGACATTAGGGAATTAAAAGAAGAAAAAGAAACCTTAGAAGTTGTACATCCTCCTCGTTTAAAAAGTTTGGAATCAATGATTCTGCATGACTCAACAATGAACCTACAAAAACAAGTCACTTGTAAGAAAGTAATGATACATTAATTGTAACTCCGCAATAAGAATGGACTGAAAACAATGATTACGGAGATTCTTGCAAGCAGCAGCAGCTTTAGGACAATCAGAAGCTAAAGAAAATCCAGGCAGCAAGCTTGATAGATCCTGTTGCAAGCACTCTTGGACCTTGAGAACAAAAAGATTCCTCTCCTGTTCTGGGGGTTCAAATTAAATTGAAAAAAATGACATAAGGATATGTATAAAACTGTAAATAAATCAAATTTTGTTCAAAAAGTTTGCAGAACATAGGCAAAGAATGAACCTTCACATATGTCGGGAACAAAACAATGAAGATTTGCAATGACTTTGACAAATAACGAAGTCCTATGATGTGCATAAGAAGCTTGGGGCATGCTGTTATGAATTAAGTTGAACTCTAAAGGTGTTCCGTTCAACAAATCCGGTGAAGAAATGTTATCCAAAATCCATCCAACAGTAGCAAATATATCATATTCAAGAGTTGCATCCTCCTCCTTCTCAGGGAGATCAGTTGAACACCAACAAGATAAAAAATCCCCATAGGTGAGTGAAAATATTGCTGTCAGAACTTTGGTCTGCAGTCACACGCAAAGGACACAATCAAAACCTCGAAAGCAGAATGCATAACATCTGCATTGAATAAATCTTGTGAGCAAATTATGACTTAATTTGACCATTTTTAATTTTACCCCCCCCCCAAAAAAAAAAATCCCAAAACACCCCCACACGAGCCTGCACCATTGCATTGGCACGTCAGCAATTATATCAACAGCATAAAACTGTGATAACTTTTTATATTCTGAAAATGATGGCTTACAAAACAATTTGTCATGTAAGATCGAAAGTTTGAATCATCAGAGAAGCTGTCAGCTAGCCGCATTGCATTTAGCTGTAAGAATCCCATGGGGTAACTTCTGACATTAGCAAGATGTCTAGGATCTCCTCCAAAAGCAGTCTTTAGTAAGTGAAATACCTATATAACGAGAATTACATTAAAAGCACAATACTGAGAGTGAATACATAGGCATGCTCAATGCAGAAGAAAGACAGGCAATACATTTTATTAAGCCAAAAGGAAAAAACAGTGGACATTTTCAACATTTTGTGCTACAAGCCACCAGCTGAGAACTAACCTCTGAAGCAACAGATTTAGCTAAATTTAAACTTTGTGATGAGCTGGCAACTTCATCAAGATAAGAAATGCTTTCTGCTTCACATAAACTTAGAAGCTGCAGCACGAGAGTGGTAGCAGCATCAATATCAATATGTAAATTCTTGGAGTAGATTAAATTAAAAAGATGACTTATAGCAGATTTTGCCATCATACTCACAATAGAAAGTATTTTAGCTTTTAGCCTAGATACAGCTGCCATAATCTTACATGGAAAAGATGATTCCATGTTTAACTTCAGGATGGATTGAGCAAGAAAAAGAATGCTTCCTTTTCCACATAGTTCCTGTAAGAAATAAATATATATACATAAGGTATAATATGTCTCATCAATTAACCAAACCAATACAATGACAATATCACGACTACATAACAAGTAGTCAGCTTGAATGAAGCCCTCGGCAACCTAAGCACCAATCCCCAACTCCACAGTACCTTCACCATCTATTATCCATTTTTACATACATGTTTAGTTTGCAGTTAAGACATTGGTCAGCTTGGTACCAAAAACAATATGGGAATTCAATGGAAAACATTTAAGGAAAAGTGGGAATCTGGATAAGCATAAGAAACGGGCAAGGTTCAATCAAGTCCAGGCAAATAGACGTGTAATGTTTAGCTTTTTCCTTGCAAAAATGGAAAACGTGATAGAAGATCTATTAAACAAGATTAAAGACAGTTCTATTGATAATCTGATGAAAGCAAATTTAGAGGGCAATAGAACCCGAGCTCTGCTTCTTTTTTGAAGCCCTGCTATATACAAAGAGGTATCAAGACTTCAAGTGAAAAACAACTTGTATAGCTGCATGAGATCTACTTTAAAGTGCGTGTTTGAACACCAGTTGACAATGTGATTTCCCACAATCCAATGCAAATCTCCTCTCTATCAGATTCTAGGGAAACGTGATTTTGAGGCCCTCCCATTATTTTCCACACGCACACTAAGAGATTTCAGTTGGTGATGCCAGAGAAAAGGTAGAGCAGCAAGATGGTGAAGATTTGAGAGTCTTAAAAGTAATAAAACAAGAATGCTGCTCCATTTAATATGGAGTGATCAATTGAGGGTGACAGAATTACAGAGACAATGAATTCAGATGCTACCAAGGGATGCATTCCTTCATGAGAGATTTTTATTCAGGAGTAAGGTCACTTGATTCTAAGAGGAACTTTGCTATTTCCTTCCTGGAGTTAGATAAGAAAGACACAAAACTTGAAACTGGCTTATGTAATTGAAGTTCCATAAGCAACCAATACAGAGTTTTATGAAATATTCATAAGGTTCACCAGAGTCCTAAAGATGCTTCACTGTCCACAATTCAAATGTTGCTCATCCAAAAGATGCTTCACTGTCTACAAATCAAATGTTGCTCATCCCTGATCTAAATTTAGAGACACCCCTAACTAAAGTCACAGCAATTCATTTGCACCAAAGTATAAGGCCAAGTCTGGTTTCAAAGAACCTTATTCTTGAGTAGGCGTTCTTTGAACAATTTTTGTTGGCATAATGACTGTAGAAATTGCAGAGAGGCCTCACACTGCTGGCAGAGATGATAAACTACTCGTTCTGAAGTCAAATGTGATTCCCAGGATAAATCTTTATGGTAAGCTGAAAGTGTAATCTCAAGGCACCTAACTACCATGCGAACTGATCCAAAGGCTGCATCCATAAATAAGTCAACCTGTCCCACAAAACTTCATAATAAGCCATAGCATAATTGCATTGTTACATTAATTGTTAAAGTGTCGGGACGTAAACTAGAAATTAAGGTTGACAAATATGAGATGGCGAAGAAAAAATAAACTTCAAATGCTTTGACATAAGATATATCTCAGTCTGCTATGACAAATAGCCAATAAAAGTAATTTTTAAAATCCAGATACCTTAGGGTGCACAACCAATACATGTACAAGATCTTGCCATTGTGCCGATATAAACCCCGTTAATAAATATAAATTGCATGCTACAAGAGCTGAATACAAAAGGTACTTAGGACTAAAAGCATGCCCTTCCTGCAACATGAGCACTACTGTCAATACAGTCAAACAGTACAGAAGATTAAACTGCAATGACAAGAACTAAAGAAAACCTGTCTGTAACCACCAAGAACGACTAACATGTAGAAAACCAAATCAATCAGCTGTTCCAATACTTTCACATCATCCAGCATTATCTGCAATCATATTTCAAGGATATGAGTCAGATAAATCAGGTTCTACCATCACATTGTTCGTTTGATAAATAAAGATTAATGGGAGAATTCCCAAGGCAGAACCCTTTAGTGCAATTTTACTAATTTAGGAACATCAACCAAAAGAATGGCGGCTAATAGTCCTAAATTAAAAATATTCTTGCCAAGTTACCTGAGGAGGTGATTCTCCCTATAATTTAGCACAACTGATCATTTTACTGTCAATAAAAAGCATGAATAGGAGAATACTACAACTTCAAAAATAACTATCAAATTACATACATGCCCCTATATTAAAAGTATCCGTAACAGGTAATATTTGCACCCCTCAATCAAAATATGACATATATTGGTTCCAACGGTAAAGGTGATCCAGAATGGATTCAGATAAGATGACTCCTTGAAGAGAGGGATGGGTTCCACATTACCTGCCTCATCAATCACTTTCTAGATACACATAATCACGAAAGTTACCACTAAATGCACCCCCTTCTTTGTCTCTAATAACAGGTTGTTCCAACAAATCAAGGAGCCAATTGCTAGCTACCAAGTCATTATTTAATACACCATATAACCTTAAATGTTTTCATTTTATTTTTTTGGACTTACAATAACATCCAACTTGATAACAGGTCTTTACCACAGGGGAATAAAAGAGGGGAGAGAGAGAGGAAGAAGCAGAATATACACCAACCTGCTCGAGTTTAGAGTGCCGAGGGGCTAAATCAAACAAGGAATGGAGGAGACGAAGACCACATAACAAGTATTTGAACATTTTTTCATCCCTATCAGATGAGATTAGCAATGCAGTAAGGTGCAGTGGAAGAGACCCTGCAAGTTTTTCCATGTCAACCTGTGAATGGCCACAATTAGATACAGAAGTTTAATAAGACACTAGACAAATTAGCATGATGACGCCAAGATTAAGGCAACCTTTATCAGTGATCCTTTTTCAGTAAGGTAGGTGATAGTAAAATTTTCGGAGTCCCTCAATAATCTATGGAGTTCCTGAGAGTTAAGTCCATGTAACTCCTTCACAGCTGTTATTATGTCAGTTGCCTGTCAAGAATACAAAGATAAATTATTCATGTTCATTTGGTAGTTCATGGATACAATTTTTTTTTTTTTTTGGGAGGGGGTGGGGGGCTCTCATGGATTCAAATTATATTCTTAGTGGCAAGTGCTTACCCTGGAAGTTGATGGTTCTTCCTTGGCATGCCTCATTCTTGAGGATTACTATGAAGGCAGAAGAAGCATACACGAGCATTATGCATCAGAAAATGTGAAATTGCAGGATGAAACAGTATGCATGACATTTGAGCATAGAGTCATGTGTAAATTGAACCAGGATGAGAAATAATGAGTCAAGTCAAAGCAACTACGGTACTACGGAACAGATTAGCAGAACACTGCATCAAGAATAAGCTGGTATTTCTTTTTCTTTCTTTCTTTGTTCCTTCTTTTTTTTTTTTTTTAATTTCCTGAGCTCAGGTATAAGCTGGTATTTCAAAGCCAAAAATATATGCTAAAAAATACAAGCGTTTGAACTCCTTTTGGTTGCTGTATCCTGTCATATACTGCATGCAATCTTGAATTTGAAAAATGAACTTAAGACGATACATTTATTCTGCATAAAAGTTCGCTAAATCAGAAAATAATGTCTTCAAAGTTACCATATCCAATTTTCTCCTACAGATTCTCTTCTTATTCTGCAATGCTTCAAAAATGTCTTGAGCATGCAACTTCCTAGGAGATTTAAATCTACATTTGATTGAATGTGGTGCGCACAAGGCAAGAAGTCTTCCTTGTAACTAGGTGGGTTCCTATGCATTACACAGGAGTCTGAGAAATATGTTGCAATATTCACATCTAGTGAACAATGAAACTCGCTATATATTTTAGTAATTCAAATTGATGATATTGATTTCCATTTCTTCGTCATACAGTAGTCCAAAAGTGGAGGAATGCTACGACACAGGATGAACTTCCAATTCTAAACTTCGAAAGTAAAACGGAAGCGTGATAAAAAATTACAATCACATTAAAGTTATTTCCTTCCGCTTCCAACGCGTTTTCTTCCAAAGCATACATTCAAGAGTGGAATTTCTTTTCCCATTCATACAAACACATGATTATAAGAACAATATCTATTACGTTCTTCTATCTTTTAAAGACTTCTCAGAATCCTTTCGATTTCGTTCCCTTCCATTCATTAAATGAACTTCTAAAGAACTAGTAACTCCAACATGCATTCGCCTTTGAAGATTTCAAGCACTTATTGTCCTTAAAATCTACAACTACTCAAGCCAACGCTGCTAATCAAGTACATTTCGACGAAACGCAAGACGAGATCCCTTCTCTTTTATGCGATTATGCTAAAGGCTAACAACAAAGAACGAATGGAAGAGCTAAATCCCGTACTGGCGAGCTCTTAACGACTGCTTAAATATTCCGAAGGAGAGATTTAACACGTCCCAAGCTATATGCAGTAGATAGATAGGGGGAAGATGAGAGAACCTGGAGGATTACGAAGGAGGAAGTGTCGAAGCTTAAGATGACGGGCGGTGAGCAGTGGCACTGGAGTAGTCTGAGAGGGAAAGGAGTGAAGTGGCCGATGGTAATGGCTGGTTAAGGAAGCAGATGCCGGAGATGAATTGAAGATGGCAAAGTAAACGACCTTAGCCTGTGCCCCCCGACATGTCCCACCCAAGTCATGCGGTAGATTCTTAATTAAATGGGGAAACCGGGATTTAGATTGGATTAACAACCGAGAGACTATATAACCTATTTAACTAATTTACTAATTTGATTATATTAACAAAATTAAATAAATTAGTTGATTATAAGAAATATGACATAATAAAATATTATAATTATCTTCCTCAATATTTTCTCTTTTTTTTTTTCATAAGTGTGATTGAGAAAGGGTCAATACAAATGACTTAAAAAAATTAATAAATATAAACATAAATCATTTTTAACATGTTTTGCATAAAAAACTTAAATTTCATTAAATTTTATTCAAAATTTAACGGTTTTTAATTTTATCTCTATTTAATATACATTATATCTCATATAAATAAAGTCACCCAATAATAAATTAAAAATAAAATTATACCCCTGCACACGAAAAATTTCCCAGTATCCTATATCCTATAATAATAAATAAAATAAAAAAGTGTCTCTCTCCAAAGTGGGAGTTCTTCTTCTCTCTCCACGTGAGAGTTAGTTACGACGGTTATCGTCGTTTAGGTCGTAACTTCTTGCACTGCCGATTGCTACGGTGGTGAGGAAGAGGAGAGTGAGTGAGCCCTGTCGCCCACTGCGGCGGGGGAAGATAAGAGTGTTCCTCTGTTCCGTTCATCACGGTAGAGGAAGAGTGAGGTCATTAGATCAAAAACTAGAAATGGAGAAAGGTGAAGTGCTCACCGGTGATGATTCTAAAAGAAGATCGAGAGAACTGGAAGTAGACTTGATATATCGAAGTAAGGACGATAGAGGCTTTGCCGGCAGTGCTTTGGTAGGAAGAATTATTTTAGAGAAGAACCTGAGCTAGAGATTGTATAGGTGGATCGGAAGGCTTTTATCTTTGAATTCAGAAGAAGAGAAGATTATATGAGAATTTTGCATGGAAGGCCCTGGTCGATTAACAGTATGTTATTGAACATTCAATGCTGGGAAGAGGATATGATATTTGCTGAAGTAGACTTTAATCTCTGTCCTTTTTGGATACAATTTCATGATGTACCGTTTGCTGTGATGGATCTTGAAAATGCAAAAAGACTAGGGAGTTTGGTAGGTGAAGTTTTGCTGGTTGAAGATCCTAGAGCTGATGGTTTGTTGTCGCGGAGCTTTCTCAGAGTCAGAGTCTTAGTAGACCTGAGAAAACCTCTAGTAACTGGTATGTCAGCTCCAAGGAAAGGGAAAGGGCCTACTAGTATTAAAGTGCGGTATGAGAGACTTCAGAATTTCTGCTTTGCTTGTGGCAGAATAGGACATGATTTGAGGAGCTGTCAGTTCAGTGGTGATGGGGAGGAAAGAGTGGAAGCTGAATATGGCTCCTGGTTGAGTACACAAGCTGCTCGCTGGAATGATAATGCCATCAGAATATGTAAAGTAGACTGGGTGGAATTGGAAGGATGGAGAAGGAAGAAAGAAAAAATAAAACCACTTATCATGAATGATGATAGTGTGGCTAATAAAACTGATACGGGAAATGTAAGGAAGGTGAGGAAGGAGGAAAACGTTGAAAAAGAGAGTGGTAGACCATCTTATGATGATTCGGAGAAGATTGTTAAAAAGAGTAATTTGGAACCAACTGGTAAGGAAAAGGAGACTGGAAAGACAGATTGTAAGAAGAACAATGGAAATGGTAGAGAAAATGGATATGGTAGCGCTGATACGCCTGTGACTTTGAATGCTGTAGAGGAACTAACTCCAAGGGCAAGTTCTCCTACAAGGGAAGATGGAGATCTCTCCAAAGCTTTAGTAGTTTATGGGAGTATTTCTCCAATGTCTGAGGTTGTCAGGGGATTAAGAAAGATTGGGATCAAGAGAGAAGCTGAAGAGTGGGAAGAGAATCCTATAGCTAAGAAGAGGAAGTTATGTTTTGAAGACCCTATTGTTATACCTAATGACATCCTGCTATTCTCTCAAGGAAAGGAGGAAAGGAGAAATGTTAGGTTGCTGAAAAGAAAGAGTAGATCAATGAAAGCTGCGGGAAGGAACATGAGGAATAATTCCAGTATTGCTGCAAAGCAAATTGTGTCTGCTGCTAGCGGCTTTGGTGACTGGCCCGAATCAGTCACCAAGGAGCTATGAGGATGCTAATATGGAACTGTCAAGGTTTAGGGGTTCCCTTGACAGTTTATAACTTGAAGAATATGGTGAGAAGTAAAAAACCTCTTATTGTTTGTATTCTGGAAACAAAAAAAAAAATAAAGTAAGAAGGAGCTGTGGTTTAGAGAATGGCTTTGAGGTGGATCCGATAGGGAGGAGTGGGGGTATCTGTTTGTGGTGGGTTAAAGATATAAGGGTGGAAATATTGTTTGCCTCAAGTAATCTAGTGCATGTGAAGATTACTTCTACGGTAAATGAAGTTCCTGATTTTGTGACATTTGTCTATGGCTTTACAAAGGAAAGTGGCAGGAGAGTAATATGGAATAAGATTAAGGAATTTGCTAGAGAAATTGATGGTTCTTGGCTTTGTACTGGGGATTTCAATGATGTTATGTCACTGGTAGAGAAGAATGGAGGTAGACCAAAAGCAATAAGGAAGATTCTCAATTTCCAGAGAAATGTTGCTGATTGTGAGCTTATGGATCTTGGCTTTAAAGGACAGCAGTTTACCTAAAGTAATGGGAGATTGGAGGAGAATCATATTAAGGAAAGGATTGATAGGGCCTTGTGTAACATTGCATTCAGGGAAATCTTCCCTCGGTCACAGGTGTTCCATCTGGATCCAGTGGGATCTGACCATTGACCCTTACTGATAGACCTCTGTTTTGAAGCTGTGAAAACCCCTTGGTCCTTCAAATTTGAACAGATGTGGCTGTCCCATCCGAATTACAATGAAGTGGTTAGTAGGGGGTGGAATAGTAATTGGACCAGATTGGAAGATAGTGTTGATGAGATCGTTAGACGACTGAGGAAGTGTAGAAGAGAATTAATCGCCTGGAGTAAAATTGCCTTCCCAAATAATAGAAAGCTTGTCGATAACTTGTTGGAAAAGCTTTCTGAATGTCATGAGGGGAGTTTCACTGAAGAAGATAGAAGGAAGGTGGAGGAAATTGAAGACAATCTAGAAAAGATCTGGAAAAAGGAGGAGTTATATTGGTGGCAGAGGTCAAGAATTTCCTGGTTGCAAGCTGGAGATTCGAACTCAAAATTTTTTCATTTGTCTACTATCCAAAGAAGACAGAGGAATGCTGTGTTAAAAATTAAAAACTCAGATAGAGTTTGGTTGGAGGATGAAGTAGGAATCGCAGAGTGCTTCACCAACTTTTACAAAAATCTGTTTAAGGCATCTGAACCTAGAAACTTTGATAAAGTCCTACAGTATGTTGACGAATGCATTACTGAGGAGGAGAATAAAAGCTTAATGGCTGCAGTATCTAGAAGAGAAGTTTTTGAGGCAGTATTTCAATTAGGGGGGAACAAAGCGCCTGGGCCTAATGGATTTAGTGGGAGATTTTATTAGAGTTCCTGGGAGACGGTGAAGGAAGAAATTTGGTTGATGGTCAGGGACTTCTTTGAAGGAAAAGGTGATATTGCTGTCATTAACGAAACCAATGTGACGTTGATTCCAAAAGTAGACAGACCTGAGGATGTGAATCAGTTTAGACCTATTGGTCTATTCAACTTTGTCTATAAGGTAATCTCTAAGGTGTTGGCAAATAGGCTCAAGCCGTTTCTATCCAACTGCATTTCAAGAAACCAGGGAGCTTTTGTCCCAGGCAGATTAATTCATGATAATGTAATTATTGCTCATGAGGTATTTCACTTTTTGAGGAGAAGGAGGAATGGTGTGAGATGTGATTTTGCTTTGAAAATGGACATGAGCAAGGTTTATGATAGGGTGTAATGGGATTTTGTGGAAGCTACCCTTCTCAAATTCGATTTTAGTAGGGAGTGGATTAATCTGGTTATGAAATGCATATCTTCAATTAAACTCAACTTATGTCTTTCTGGTAGGAAAGTGGCAGAGATCAGTCCAGGAAGAGGCTTAAGGCAATGAGACCCCCTTTCCCCATATGTTTTCATCCTGGTTGTTGATGTTCTGTCGAGTATGATCAGGAAGAATGTGGAGATGGGTCTCTTAAGAGGTATTAAACTGTCAAACTCTTGCCCCATGCTAACACATAGTTTCTTTGCTGATGATGTACTATTCTTCATGGATGCTAAGGAATGTTATTGTAAGAAGTTAGCTCAGATTTTGGAAGATTATTGTTCTGTATCTGGACAGCAGGCAAATTTTGCTAAATCTGGAGTAGTTTTCTCAAAAAATACTCCTGGAGAAGTAAGGAGAAGAGTTTGCAATATTTTGAAGATTGAGGATATAGAAGAGCCGGGCAAGTACTTAGGAATTCCTAATGTATCGGGAAAACCAAAGAATCAGGCCCTTGCTTATATTAAGGATAGAGTTGGTAGGAAAATCAAAGGGTGGAGTAGTAAATTGTTGAGCTAGGCTGGAAGAGAAGTACTTATAAAATCAGTAATCAATGCTGTGCCTATGTATCCTATGTATTGCTTCAAGTTTCCCAAACAGACCTGCAGAGATCTGGACAGAATGATAGCGAATTTTTGGTGGAGTGAGGGGAAAGAGGGAAGGAAGATCCATTGGAAGGCATGGAGCTCTATGACCAGATCTAAGAAGGATGGAGGAATGGGATTCAGGGACTTTGAAGCAATGAATGATGCTTTATTGGCTAAAACAGCTTGGAGATTGATGAACAATGAAGAGGAAATGTGAGTAAAGGTGCTGAAGGGAGTTTATTACCCTAATACTCCATTTATGAATGCCAAAAAAGGCCATAAAGCATCTTGGCTATGGTCAAGCATTCTGGATGGTAGAAATTTGCTGAAGGATAATGCTTTCTGGAAAGTTGATGATGGGAAAAGGGTAAATGTGTGGTTTGATAGATGGATACCAGAGATGAAGAGAAGGTTAGCTGATATAGTGAATGTCCCGGAAGAAGCAAAAAAGTGGATGGTTTCTGATTTGATAATAGATGGCAGGTGGAATATGAGTAATCTGCAACCTTTGATTTCTGTTGAAATCTTACAAAAAATTTGTAGTATTGGATCTGATCATTTCCAAAGAAGGGATAAGCTTATTTGGGATAAAACAAGGAATGGACTTTATGTTGTGAAGAAAGGTTATGTGGAGGCAAGGTCAAGAAGAAATGTGATTGATGGTAGAGCGGGAAGCTCCTTCTCACTACCATATGATATATGGAACAAAGTGTGGAAATTGAGGGTGCTGCCTAAAATTAAAAACTTCATGTGGAGATGCTTGGTAGGTGCAGTACCAGTGAATGAAGCTTTGGTGAGAAGGAGATGCAGAACATCTGAATTATGCCTGGTATGTAAATCAGAAATAGAGACACTTGAACACACCCTTTTCTTATGTCCATGGGTAAAGTGTGTATGGTTTGCTTCTACATTAACCTGGAAGGTTGATAGTTTTAAATTCTAGAGTTTTGGTCTCTGGATAAAAAAGATTTTATATGATGATGTGTTGCTGAATGACTTCCAACTTGCTTATGTGGTGTGGATTATCTGGTTGATATGGAAGGAAAGAAATAGTGTAGTGTTTGAGTTCAAAGAACCTGATCCTATTAAGGTCGTGAATGCTGCAGATAAAGCAACAAGGGAGTTTTGGAGAGCAAAAGGGTGGCAGATAGATAGAGAAGAGGAGATGAAGAAAAAAGATCATTGTTCAATATGGCGCCCCCCAACTGCAGGTATGGTTAAAATTAATTGTGATGGCTCCTTTACCCCAAACATGGCTACTATCGGTTTAGTCTGTAGAAATGAAAATGGTTTGTTCCTATGGGGATTCGGTGAAGGAGTTAAGGCAGATTCGGCTTTTCTATCTGAAGTCCTTGTTGTTAGGAAAACTGTGCTTATTATCAAAGAGTTGAATCTGTCCCATGTTATAATTGAGATTGATTGCTCAGAAATCGTTTGGTGCTAGCAGAATAAATCAGTAGATTATGCTGTTTGGAATGGTAGATGGGAAATGCAAGAGGTAATTGAGGCCTTGAATGATTTGAGTGGTGTGGAAATTACTCTTGTTTCAAAGAAGAGTAATGAAGCAGCAGATTGTCTTGTTGTTAGTTGTAGAAAGGGAGTGTGCCCTTATGGGTGGGTTGATAAACCAACACCCCTCCTGGAGAAGGCTTTGGCCGTGGACCTGGAAAGGTGGGAATTATTCAAGGCTAGTGAAGGCACCTCTTGCAGAAGCCTAGATACCAGTATTGCTGCTTCAGGAGTATGTGACAGCTTTGAGAAATGTGGTATTGGCTGATTTGTTCTTGGCTTGTGCTCCCTTGCTTGTTCTTTCTGCTTGATGTCGGTGTTTTCTTTCTGTTTTGTTTTCTTGTTGCTGTTTTTTGTTTTGGTTTAGTTGTGTGATAGGTTGTACTCCTAGGACTTTTTGAGCGTTTTTCCTTTTGGGCCTTAAGTAGCTATTAGCGTGTGTATTTGATTGTTTGTGTTTTAATAAAATGGACTCCTGTTTTGGCCAAAATATATATATATATATATATATATAATGTTTCTATAGCCTATAAGCAGTACCAAAAGAGTAAGTCTTGTAAATCAAATATAAACAGTACCAGAAGAGTATCAACTCATTTTACTTTTTTATTAGTGCCAGCGGAGTACGTATTATAAATCAAAATCAACTCATGCTACTTTTTTGCCCATTGGGAGGATAGCACATTAGTCTTGTAAACCCACGACAAGAAAGCTCTCTGGTACTCATAGCGTACGCCCCTCAAAATTGATTCCCTGAATATAATCACTGAAATATTTTAGTGACCTCTGGATAACCATGGTAACTCCGTTGGTTTTGGGAGCATAGAAAATGGCGCCATTGAAGTCTCTGCAGCAAGAGTACCCGCTCGTTGATTCTGGCTTCCAAGCTTTTTGTGCTTCCCACGGCATTTTCTCGGGTACCTTTCATCTGTTTTCTTCTGCAATTTCCCAATGTATGCAGTACCTCTTACGAACTCTCTGGTGTTCCAATTTTCGTCAACGACTATTAGGATTATGGAAACCTAGTTCCATTTTTTATATATCCTCGTTGCTCCTTTCCACCCTGCAACGCTTTGGTAATTCATTCTCCATGTTTCCATCTTCTCAGTGGAAGACTTCCTCCTGTATGATGTTGATGTATTGATTTCTTCTGCGGATAAGCAGTCTACCTCGCAGAGACTAAAGCAGGCTAGCGTGCACTATTACTCCCCCCCCCCCCCCAACGAGGGGGTCAAATTCTTGTTATTGTTTATTTGTCTGCTTGCAAAAACTTTAAAAAAGTTTCAGGCTGTTTTACCTCGGGTATGTAGGGAATCAATCAACTCCTGTCTATCATAGATGCGTTGCATCGACCATTGTTGACTGGTCTGAATCTCCTTGAAGATTCTAAGCGGAATAAACATGCATTATCCACCGGATGTCAAGGGTATCTTCGGTGCAACTCTCGTTTTTTAGTACTGAGTCGTAGTAAATGTTGTTATTGGTTTATATAAACGGAGTGATGAGGGGGTTGAAACTAGGGCTGTAGAAATCACAAAATTATCTAGTGTTTCAACTTGTGTAATTCAGGATTGACGCATTGCTTGGAGGTGGATTGCGCCTAGGACAAGTAACTGAACTTGTTGGACCATCTTCATCTGGAAAAACACAAGTAAGAACCAATGACTGTGTTTGCTATGAAACCACATGCTTTGACCTCCTCCTATTTTGATCATGATTCTACTTTAGCATGGAACTGATTTCCTCAATATAATATTAATTGCTATCTTCCGTTTCATCATGTTTGTTCTGATACAGAGTATTTAATCTTTAATTGTAGGCTTGCCTGCAGTTTGCCACAACTGCTGCAACGAAGCATATAGGTTTTGTCATATACTTGGATACATGCAATGCCTTTTCGCCCCAGCGCATTGCCCATTACGCTGGTCAGTCCTCTGGTCCTGTCTCTAACGATCAGGTTACTATGTGTCAACTTTTTTGTACAATGTTCACTTTATTAACTGTCCTAAAAGCACATGTTCATTTATTTGTTCTTCTTATCTCCTATTTTAGGCTGATCACAAACCTCTTCAGCAAGTACTGGACAGAATAATCTGTTATTCAGTGTTCAACATTTTTCAAATGTTTGATTTGTTGCATCAGCTGGAAATCAATCTGAGATCTCAGGTTCTCAACTTCTCGTTAATGTTGGTTGTTTTTGTATTTCCTTCTGTCAAATAAATGGCTACTGTATCTTCGTACAGATGTTCAAATCAGATTGTCAAGTTCGGTTGCTTATTGTTGATTCAGTTTCTTCACTGATTACCCCCATCCTGGGGGGAAGTGGTCCTCAGGGTATGCTAATTGTTTGATTTCTGTATTTCATGATATGCTAGCTAATACTTCTTTTTCAAATGATGTTACATTTATCTTTTTACCGCCCTTTTATTTGTCTGCTTGACTTTCCGGCGTGCTTATATGGTGACTTCAGAGAGATACTCTTAATTATTTGACAAATAAGTAAAGAACCATAAGAGTCTTACTTTCATAATCTAGCGTCAATCTTCATTAACTGGGACTCTTGAGAGTTTTTCTGTGAATAACGCTATCTTGAATGTTTAGTTCAGGTTATATTTTACAAAGCTGTGCAGTTTCTGTCTATCTTCATTCTTCAGGCATCTCTCTCTTACGTTGTTTATTTCCTTAATAATCTGTTATAATTTCAATCTCCTAAGTTGATTGGTGGTTGATTAGCCCTCTATATGTTGAGGGGGATGGAAGATGTGAGTAGCATGCAGCTCTTGAGTTACATGTTATGTGCCTGCAAAGCAGTTTAAAAGAATTAACTCATCATATTATGCTATATAGAAGATCAACATCAAAACTATATTATGCCTTATATTACTTGGTTTCCATGGGTAAAATGTTTCCATGGTTCAGCCATTTTGTCAATATTTTTGTGTTTATACTTGGAATCCTTGGCAAGATTTGGGTTTTTCCAGGAATTGATCAAGCTTTGTTGATTCTGCATAATCAGTTGGCAAGATATAAAGATGGCAGATGGCAGACTGGAAGTATGCCATTTTTTCTGTGATTTGGTATATTTGGTTGGAAAGGAATGCCAAGATTTTTCAAGTTGTCTTGGACATATGGAAAGGGGTAGCATAGCTTGCTTCCTTTTGATGTTCTGTCTATGGTTGTTTCAAGGGAGTCTCTTTGATTAGTATGAATTGATATTTTCAACTTATCTTTTAATAAAAAATTTTGGGGACCTAACCTTCATTAAATTAAAGTTTTGGGACCTAACTGTCATTCTCCCTTATAATTTTCATCCAATCTCATAAAGCTTTTTTACCCAATCCAAAAAGGGAAATAAAAACTGAGACTTTAAATGGCCCTTTGAGATGGATGGATTGGAAGTTTAATGAGGAGCTTGGTTGTCTGGATAAGCTATCTCTAGGATCTGTTCTTTCTTATTCTGTTTTGTTCTCATCAGCTGTATATCATCCTTTCGCTCCACATCTAGAATTATCCATGCATAATCTTCTTTTTTTTCTTTTTTTTTTCCAAGTTGTGAATTTCCATGCTAAAAGGATCAATTACCAGTTAACTTCAGAAGTTTACATTTTATGGATGATTTCAGGACACGCTTTGATGATATCTGTTGGGTTTTTACTAAAGAAGTTAGCACATGAGCATAATCTAGCTGTGTTGGTAAGTGCTGCTTCTTTTCTCTTTTATTCCCGCCAGGTGATAATCCTAGTTTTTTTTTATTATTAAATGGGATTTGTCCAGTAAAAACATTTGTAGGCGTAGCTGTATAGTTGGATTCTTTTTCTTTTTCTTCTCTCTTGGAAGGGGTGAGGGTTTTCAGTCTGATGTATAAGTGTAACTGTCCATTTGATAGTTTGATAAAAACTTTGACCTTATTTTTGTACTAGGGACGACTTCCTCTTTGAGACTTCGTTGTCAAGGAACTGGACTGTGTCTCAAATAAACACAGTCATAGGAAGCATGCCTCTGTCTCAAATAAACACATAGTCATAGGAAGCATGCTGCTGAACCTTATGCTTTTCTGTTGTACTTCTTTCTTGTATCTCCTTCATTCTTTGTTATATATGGTGAAATTGGTGTCAATTTTAGGCTTGATCTCAGTTAGAGTAAGTAACTCGTATAAAATTGTTTGCTGCATTCCGATGCTTGGAGCAATAGACTTCATCTGTTCAGAAGTCCATGTCGAGAACATGCCTTTAAGTTCTCTCTGTTTGTTGTCAGATCATTTATCATTCGTTGTTTGCTTTTCTAGGCAGCCATCAATGTCCCATGCAGTCTGTGTTTTTATCACTTTCCGTCAAATAACTGTCAACCACTGAAGTACTCTTTTGGCCACAAGCATGTCCAACTCAGTTGTTGAATTCTTCCAAGTTTGTGCCAAATGTGAATGTTAGGTGAAGAATAACATGATACTAAGTACTGTTCTTTGCAGTTTATTATATAGAAAATATTTCAGAAAATTACGACTATTCTGTGGAATTGGCTGAGCTAGCAGTAGGAAAGAAGGAGTGGGGTGGGGAGCGATAAGAGCCGGACAACGGTTGAATGCGTCTCAACTCTATCTTAGAAAAATATCTTTAAACTTAAGCCTTTAATTTGTGGTGATCTGGCTTGGCATCTATAAGCCATTCAAATAATAAATTCAGCGGATCTGTTGTGTAGGTGACAAATCACATGGTGGGGGGAGACTCTGGTACTAGCAAGCCAGCACTGGGAGAGAGTTGGAAGACTGTGCCACATGTACGAATTTTGCTTTCTCGCGATCGGGAGAGCAATATATGCACTTTTTCAATTATAAAACATCCATCCATGGTATGTCCCTCTGTCAGAAAATTTCTTGATGGCGTTATCGGACTCTTTTTTCTAGCTTTTGTGTTCACTCTACATTTTACACCTATCTGTTGATTTATCGGACGGGGAGGGACCCCGTTTATTTGATAAGGGGGCGCCCCTCTCAAAAAAGAATTCTTGTATTTGTATTGTCTATGTGTTTATTATCTCCCCATGCCCACAATAATAATGATAATGTAATAATCCACCCACCCGAAACTCTCAGCATGTTAGAACTCTGAAATGAATGCCAAGGCATGTGTTGCAATCTCAACCAACCATGGCTTGTCCATCTAATTTCAACCTATAAAACCATTATTCACTGAGCACATGTAGATGTCCCCTTAATTCCCGTGTCACGTGTTAGAGCAATTAAACGAAGTTTCTGAATAGGAAAAAAAAATAAACAAAGTATTTTAAGCATGGTTTAATTGTTCGTAATAAAATAACTTTTTTCTTTGAATAAAGTCATTTAATATTATTTTTAAGGTATAATAATTTTATTTTATATGTCTAACTATAATTTTCCCCATCCCCAGAAATTTTTTTTTTTGGGGTTTCATCCCTCTACCGGATTGCTGCAACTTCTCCATGTGAAGAGGCAGTCTTCTTCTATTCATCCTTTTCACCCATTTATCGTATTCTTTTTCAGCTGGAACTGAACCAGCGGGGAAATTGATGTGTCTAATCTTCCCATTCTGTTTCAGGCTTCTGGTCGGGCTGCAAGTTGTCCTTTTTGGGACCGTTAGTATGGTCGACTCAGAATTACATATGCTTTTAATACAAGAACATTAGAATGGGTATATTACGGTGTGTAATTTATCATCATGTTGTAGGTAAAATATGTCAATTTGTCACCCCAAAGCAAGATTTATGTTGCGTGATTTATTCATGGGGTTTCGCGCCCCCTTTTATTATTATGTTTAAGAGCGAGCAGGTGCAGTGAAATCGATGATGGGCCGAGTATGTGCAGGTAATGGTGGGCGCCATTGATGACGTTGGGCCATCCATAGATATCCGAATGGCTGGAAGAGCCTAATTTCAGGGCCCAAGTGTTCCTGAAGCCTAGTAATAGTATTTTTGAGTCCCGATATTATTTCATTCGATGAAGAAAGGAAAAAGCGTCCGCAATAATTGCTGCCCTGGTTAGAAAATTATTTTGATTCTAAATTGTGCCTCTTGTTTCTTTAGGTGATATACATTTAATTTCTTTGAAAATAAAAATAACATTCAGGTAGCGTGTCCGTAAGCAATAGTGGCTGAATATCTTAAATTACTTTTAAAATTTAAATGTAACTAAATATAGTGTGTATTGCGCAAGAATTTAAATGAGTTTTATTTTATTTTTAATTTATATTTAGTTTTATTTGATACTAATCTGAGTTTTATTGTGGAGTATTAGGTTGAACTATGGCAAGGGCATTATTAATTAATGTTAGTTATATATGGAGAGAGAGAGGGGAATGAACTTGACGTGGATCGCAGCTCATGAAAAGCATCATATTCATAATCGTAGAATCTAATTATGATATGGTCATACTTGTAAGGAGTATAACTTTCAAACTTCAATAGCCGAAAAGAAAGTCAACTTTAAAACCAACCACGATCTCTTCTGGACTGGAGGATTCACCTTTGAAGACTGAACTAGCGCTCCAGGTTTATTTTTATCGATTGACTTGGGGCGGGCGGTGCCTGTTTGTATAATTATAGACGCCATGGTATTTGGTAGGCCTGGTCCTTTTAGTACAACTGGGAGACCATTCCAATTAAAATCTTGTGAATTACTCCTATTGCTAATAATCTAATTAATGAATTTGAGTATATTAAGAATATTAGTAAATTGATTAATATAATATATTTATTCTAAACACTCTAAGGCCTAAGCATCTTCTTGAGTTTCCCCTCTCTTCCTCTCCTGTTTGATTATTATTGAGAGAATATCAATAAGGTTAATTTAAAAAAAAATTAATAAATATTTAAAACAGGTCTTATATATAGAATCAACATGAACTCCCTAATCAGGTACATATCAAGGACTGGAGGAGTAATATACTTCTCTGATTTTACTTATGAGACAAAAAAAATTTTATTCTATTTACAAACCACATTATTAAATTTTCATTATAAATATATTATCTTAACTGTCATTTATCAAGTAAGGTCACAAAAATTGTTAAATTTTAAAGTATTGTTAACTATGTTTGAAATTACTTTATTCTAATAAAATATGTTGGAAGTAATTTATAAATAAAATTAAAAAAACTAAAATCATCTATTAAGTTTATTATTTACTATTTATCTACACGTGTTATTTTTCAAATATTATCCCTGCTCTCCCTTTTTTTCACTAAGTGCTTTTAAAATCAGAATTTGAATTTAAACATATCTGTAAGGTAAGGAAAGAAGTCTTGTATGTACGATTTCTCACATCACTCTCTTTATTATCTTATTTATCTAAGCTCAAATATTATATCCGCAATAATTTGTATGTATTGTATCCTGCCGCGTTATATGTACTTTTTATAATTGTTTGAAATATGCTATTTATGAGTCCAAAAAAAGAAATATGCTATTTAGGTGCAGATGAGCTGGACCAAGAAAGTCAAGGAAAATAAATATCTTGAAACCACCTAACGCACCATTTTCAGCATCCATGTTTAAATTTTTTAACATGATATGAATCGTCAACGTTGAATGTTTCCCTGAAGCGGTAGGTATACGCTCATCTATCATTTCTGTAGTGTGTGTTTATAAATCACTATCAATATATTTTATCAAAAATAAAAAAAATTATAAATCTCATTAACCCACCTTAAAATTTAATAAATTTTCAATTTTATTTTTATTTAATAAATAGATAATAAAATAGTACATTAATATTAAAAATTTAATTATATAACTTATAAATGTGATCAAAGATGTCTCCATAAACATATGAAAGGGATTTTTTTTTTGGGGTAAGGGGGAATGCTGCAGCCTGCAGGCGGACGCGTTCCACAGGGCAACTTTAACGGAGTTTGACCTGTCTCCCCCTTTCCCACTTTTACTACTATTACTATTTGGAATCAGCTTGAGGCATTAATAATTTTTAATTTACGAGCGGTCCCCAAACTACAAAAGGCACTTTGTTTTTCTGCAGACAAAAGTAATTCTGTTCAAAATATTATTGGGCATTAAATATAAGTAAGAAAAATTACAAATAAAGATCTTCTAATATAAAATTGTGATTTGAGACTCTAAATTTGAAAAATAAAAAATAAGACCGGGTCCCACTTTCGAAAATATGACATGTGGGTGAAATGTTCGAAACGTCCTTCAATCAAGTTGTGATTTGATTTACTAAAGCTGTTATTCGCTAAAATAAACTTGTCATTTTCCATAGTCAACTTGTCATTTGGCATACTCTCAGTCAAGCTGTGATTTGGTCTACTGAAATTAAAGTTGTTATTCGTTAAAATAAACTTGTCATTTCCTATAATTAACTTGTCATTTGGATGAGGGGTATTTCAGACACTTTACCACGATTTTATATTTGTGAAACCAAGTCCTTATTTGCTATTTTCTAAGATGAGGGTCCCAAATCACAATTTTATATATTGAGATTTTTATTTGCAATTTTCTCACATGAGTATTTTTTTAGCAGGAATTGGAATCTTAATTAGTCACGTTATTAAAAAAAAGAAACCAACTCCTCCTATTAAATCTAATTTTATTAGTAACTAAGGGTACCTTTGATGCCAAGTACGAAAATTCAAAAGGTTTTTTTTTTTTTTTGCGATATGGACTTTTCAAATGGTTTTTAAACGCGCCCCTGACATATTCAAACAAGGTTAAGTGAAAGTAACGTCGTTAATAGTGCTATTGGCTTTTTAAAAGTGATAATCAAACATATCCTATTCCTTTAATTTTATCTCGCCTTATAAGGTTTCGCGTATTAATCACTCTTTGACAGCCTCCCTGGTCAAAAAAAAAAAAAAATCGCTCTTTGACGGCCTCGAAGCCTCGCTTGTATTGTAAACATTGTTATCTACTGCACATTTCGACTGATATACTGGCATCAAAAAAAATAAGAGGGTTTCCTTGCCTTTTCTTATTGAGGCCCCTTTGATTAAATTATTTGAAAAATCCTAAATATAAGATTTAGTTTATAGTGTAATTTGTATTCTAAAGTACATCTTATATTATTTTTTATCTTTAATATAAGAATTAGTTTGGCATTTAATTTAGTTTTAAATATGAGACCCCAAGCCATTTTATCTTTCATATTTATCTATTTTTTTCAAAATAGTCATTGTAGTAGTTGCATGTGTTAGATGTTTAATCAAATGTTAGTCATAACTAATATACCTGATCAGTAAAGATATTTTAAGGAAGACAGCACTTATTTATCACAAATAATTAATTTAACTAATTTTATTAATATATTTTAACTAATTAACTAACTCTTGTACTAAAAACTAAATATAATATCTAGGATTAGATGTAGTGGCATAAGAACAGTGTGGATCACGTCATGCTACACTTCTTGTCTTTTTTTTTTTTTTCCAAGTCAATTTTACTAATTCATGCGGCTAAGAACTTCATGTGTGACGCAAAGGGACATTAAAAATTAATAGAAATAAGGTGAGGTGAAACGTAAATATAAGCTGAGAGTTTAAATCCTTCTAATAAAACAAAATTTAAATATTGAGTAAGTATTGAAAAATAGCATTATTCAAGATTTTTTTAAAAAAACTACTTAAATAACTATTCATTTACAGTAATTCCACATAATTTATTTTATGATTTTTTGTATATATTAAGAATATAAGCAACTGTAATTCATGTAAACTAAATTTTTATTTCATCAAAGGTCTCTCCCCCGCGCTTTTTATTACAGGTCCCACATTTACCACTCTGCTTTTTGTACAGTAAGTCCCGCCCGGCCTTTTTACCGTAGGCCCCACATTATTTGATACAATTGATTGCACATCAATGCGACGTGATGAAAACTAATTCGTGCATGAAAACTATTCGTGAGTTTTAGCCCGATCATGTTCAATAATCAATATTTTATAATTCAAGATTTAGGTTTAATAAAATAAAAAATAACTATATTGATTTTGTCATTTAAAAATTCCATGTAATTTTCATATATTTTTATTGTCAGGTTATCCAATTATAAATTGTCTTCCACGTTTAAATCATCTACCTCAGCACCTTCTCTCGCACCCACCCACCCTTAGCCATTCTTCGCAGTGAAAGCGATAATTAATGTGTTTTTAAAAAGGCTTAGAAGGAGTTTAAAACTTTAATTTGGTTTCATGTCACCACAAGAGACAATAAAAGTTTAAATTAATACCAGAGATTCTTATGATGACCATTCAATTTGGCTTAACAACTTTTTTTTTTTTTTGGGATCCACCAACTTCCAGGCTCTTGCGTACGCGCTACACTCTTCCGTTTCATTTTTAAATTTTGTACATTTCTTCTTTTTTTTTTTGTTTTCTAAAAAAAATATTTTTCTACCGATACTTTCTTTTGAATAAATCTTTACTGCTGCTATTATAATTATTCGAAGGAGACACAACATGGTGGTGAAGTATGCGTATAATGGGATTACATAGTAATACACACACAAATGCACACGTGCCAAAAAGGAAAGTAAAGAAAGAAAGTGATACAAAATTAACTTAAATATGTGCATTTTTTACTATTGCGGCAAACACTAAAAGCTTAAGGTTACAGCATGTAGGATTGAATCTACATATAGAGGAACTTCTATGTTACAAGATCATGAGGTTATTAACTTAAATACATGCATATTTAGAGGAGATTGGGTGGCAGCTATATTTTATGAAGAAACAATTGGCCCTGTAAAGTGACTGCAATAAGATAGAAGCATTTGTTAATTAATCTAAATCCAAATTGAAAATAATTTTCTGCATAAAAGTCTAAAATAGGATTCTGGAAAGGAAAAGAAAAACTGTCTTTAATGTGCTAAAATGATATTATAGCTTTAAAATTATCTACAGAAAATAAGTTTTGGAAAAAAATTAAAAATATATACTAACATCTTGAAAACTAAGTATTAATTAATTTGTATTCATGAATCAAAACTAGGAATCTGCAAACGACGACCATAACATGCATGTGCGTTACCGATGATTAAGCATGATCAAACGAATGTATATAGAAGACCGTCAAAAGTGGGGGCACCCCCTGTTTTTCCCGAACCAAGAGAAAATTAATAATTAATTAGATATAAAGCAACATCTAATATTAAATCAATTATTGCACTCTACATATACAAATATGTATTGGAAAGAACTAGTTAATGTGAACCCTTACCTTTCACACAGGGCCAAGGTAAATAAACAGCACAATGTTTATAGATTTTATGTAAAAATATATATATATATATATATAGAGAGAGAGAGATCAAGGTTGGTGAGAATGCTTGCCAAGGGAAAGAAGTCTGACCTGTACGCATTTGATTAGCAATCTTTTTGGACCTCATTGTGGTCAACCTCATCATCCATACCCTCATGTGAAATAATACTCTGGCTCCACAACACATATGCTTTCTAAAAGGACACCCATATATGCGAAGCAAGTTGGAGGCGGGCAGGCGGGAATATTATATTCTATGTCAATGCTCTTTTGGAAAAAATATCAATACTATTTATTTACATCATTATATTCTTCATTACTATTTACTACCAACCCGGCCCCTCGTAGTAATAAGTAATCAGCCGATCAATCAACCAATAACAAGGCATTTTCACTTCCCTACTGCGTGCGCGTGTGTCTATATATAGGCTTGCCAAAACTCATCAAAGCCATTCATTACCATTTCTGTTCTTGCCTGAATTAAAGATGGTGTCTCAACTTGTGTTACTAGGTTTGATCCTTGCCGCCTCAGTTTGGCTTCTTTCTAAGAGAAAGAGCAACAAGTCGAAGCAGAGGCCGAGCCTTCCGCCGGGCCCGGTGGCTCTGCCCCTTGTCGGCCACCTTCACCTCCTGAAGCCTCTGGTTCACCAGGCCTTGCGTGACCTTCAGGCAAAATATGGCCCTCTCATGCACCTTAGGCTCGGCTACGCCAACATGGTCGTCGCCAGCACTCCTGAACTAGCCAAAGAGCTCCTCAAAACCCACGAGCTCTCTTACTCTTCTCGTAAGATGAACATCGCCATCAACCTCGTAACCTACGACAACGCTACCTTTGCCTTCGCTCCCTACGACACTTACTGGAAATTCATCAAGAAGCTGAGCACCACGGAGCTGTTGGGAGCCCGAACCATCCGGCAGTTTCTTCCGAGTCGGACCCGCGAGATACACTGCTTCATTAAGGATCTCATGGATAAATCCATGGCTCGACACAGCGTCAACCTCACCCAAGAACTCCTCAAGCTCTCCAACAACATCATATCGCAGATGATGCTGAGCATCAAGAGCTCCGGCACTGACAGCCAGGCCGAGGAGGCTCGGAATCTGGTCCGGGAGGTGACGCAGATGTTCGGAGAGTTTAACGTAGCTGATTTTATTTCAATCTGCAAGAACTTGGATGTTCAGGGCCTCAAGAAGAGAGCCATGGACTTGCACAAGAGATACGACGCGTTCTTGGAAAGGATCATCTCCGCTCGCGAGGAGCTTCGAAGGCAACGAAAAGCTCCTGCAAAGGCAGAGGACGCCCAAGACGGTGAAGAGAAAGTCAGGGACTTTCTTGACATTTTGCTCGATGTCGCCGAGGATAAGAATTCTGAGGTTTCTTTAACCAGGAACCACATCAAGTCATTAATTTTGGTGAGTACGCGTATGCGTCCTATCCATGTTGGTAAAGAAAACTACTGACCTGCTATTAATATAAGAAATAATTTGATTTTTAATTAATTTTAAATATAAAATTTTAATTCACTTTATTTTTTAAATTTATTTATTTATTTTAAAATTGTCTTTGTAGTAATTGTATATGTTACATATTTAATCAAATCAAATAACACTTAATTAGAAAGAATGTTTTAGGTAAACAACACATATTTATTACAAATAACTAGTTTAACTAATTTTTTTAATCTACTCAAATTAATTAATTAACTCTTATATTAAGGACTAAAGATAATATATCTTATGCCCCAGTATAAATTATATTTTAATTTTTAAAATCCAAAATATAAGTCAACTCTATATTATTACATGCTTTTTTTACAAATATCTTTACTTATTATATAATATTAAATATTTGTTTTGGGGACTAACAAGCAACGAGAGAAAAACATTAATTATCATGGTTGAATTCGGGGGAAAAATCAAATTGAAACACATAGTTAGTTAACTTAACCAACTTTCTTAATATATATGAAATAGATATTTGTATGAGAAGCATATAATATAATATTATATATATGTATGTATATGTTCTTTTACCTTTTTTTACTTTGGTTGAAAATATTTTGATGATATGATTATCAGGTCACTAGCGAAGGTTCCTTGAACCTTGCTAATTAATCAGAAGCTTTTTCCTTTGTTCTCGTTTAGCACGATGATAATTATGAATTAGTGCATACATACCTAACATTTTTAAATTGTACTGTGGTGGTTGGAAATAAAGGATTACTTCACGGCGGCAACGGACACAACGGCGATAACTGTGGAATGGACAATTTCAGAGCTCATAAACAACCCAAAAGTGCTGAAGAAAGCACAAGAGGAAGTAGACAGAGTGACAGAGCACAAGAGACTAATAAGCGAAGCAGATATCCCAAACCTTCCATATATTAACGCCATAATAAAAGAAAACATGAGGCTTCATCCTCCTATTACTATGATCACCAGGAAGGGAGTCCAAGACTGTGTGGTGAGTGGCTACTTGATCCCCAAGGGAACCATCACGTGCGTCAACATTTGGGCTATGGGAAGAGACCCCAACATATGGGAAAGTCCCTTAGAGTTCAGACCAGAGAGGTTCTTGGAGGGAAAAGAGGGTGGGCTGGACATCAAAGGCCATCACTACGAGTTATTGCCTTTTGGTTCGGGCAGAAGGGGCTGCCCCGGTCAGCCTCTCGCCATGCAGGAACTGCCCGTCGTCATCGGAGCCCTGGTTCAGTGCTTCACATGGAAGCCCCTGGATTCACAAGGGAAGATCATAGGCGACGGCAAGACCATTGATATGGATGAACGCCCAGGATTGACTGCTCCCAGAGCCAATGATCTATCGTGTATTCCAGTTGCGAGATTGAACCCCGTTCCTTTTCTTCACGTGTGAGTCACGGGATCATGCCACGCGCTAGCTCTTTAGGACGCTTCACGTAGTGCTTTTTGCTTCTTTTTTATTTTGGCCTTTTGCTTTGATCAATATATAAGTCAGCCCGTTTGGTTGACCAGGCCACAAGGCTGGCGCTGATATATACTTTGTTTTATTGATATGTTTATAGAACTTGGCGTGTTGTAATTAAAAAGCCATAGTAGTGAATGTCTATCCGTTCCAATAAAGCGATTATACAAATAAGAAGAATATTTTATTACTTATCGCATGCAGCGTGGCTCCACGATAGGTGCTCTAGGGCCACATGCTTGCTCTTGCTTTGTAGTTGGGCGTCCACCATTTGAAAAGCAGTCTGTAGTATTTCTGTTTTAATTAATATCCATATCCTAACCCTTCTCATAGGAGGCAAAACTCATTCACATTCAAACACGCCAGTACGAATAAGAGGGCTGGGGTGCAGCGTATGGTATTTAATGAAGATGATTCGGGTAAATTCCCCGGACTGAGATTAATAATTCGCGCCAATACCACCGAATGTTCAGAAGTATCTGAGGACAAGCTAGCTAGCTATCAGACCGCACATAAGAGCACGCTTTATTTTGTGGATATTAACCAACCCTACTTTACCGACAATATAATTTTTGTTATGGCCAGATTATGGTTGCTTGCTTACCACTTGTACATGGCATTAAGTGTGATTAGCTGATTAATTTGAATATTTAGACACCATATTAAAAGCCAAAAACGTTCGTATGCAGCCATCGATCAGTTTATATCATAGAATAATCACTTTTTTGGCCACCCATAAAATAATCACAAACATTATAAATGTATGAGCTAGCCAGTTAAATAGCTCACATGGATTAATTTTTTTAAAAAAATTAATTTGGTTAGCTATTTATTATTAGCGTGTCAAAATTTTGTGATATTTTCTCTAAAATATTCATCAGAAAGAGAGCAAGCATAGAAAATTAATTTAGGCCAGTATTTGTGGTGAAAAAAATTGCGTAACTAAATAAAGTTAATTTTAGAAAATTAATTAATGAGACAAACAATAATATCGAAGTCTTATGACAAAAACAAATTTTACAAACATTTTTTTCAGCCAGCAACCACCTCCCACATTTAAAATGACTAAATGAGAGGGGGCAACTTGGTTACCCAAAAGAAAAAAGTAAGAGGAAGCAATTTGTCTATTATTTTTGGAACGTGAAGTAAGGTTATATTGTCTGGGACTCTGGGCTTTTCTTATTTATATTTATTTGTTTATTTATCTGATGAATCAGCGAGACAGCGAGGGCAGTTTGTTTTGAAAAATAATAAAATTGGCTTTAGTTAAGACTCATTAGTAGGATAATGACAAACGACTTAAATAATGGGGCGCACCCCATGATTAATTAAATTAAAACATGTTCAAGCTGAATTGACGGATCAAATATAGCCTAATATTCTGTGACGTGAAAAGATTACCCCCCCCCCCCCAAAAAAAACATTGAATTTGACCGTAACTGGCATCAGGTTGGGTTTTTTTTTTTTGGTTGGGGGGGGGGGGACTGGCAGGCCCCCTTAACTCTTTCAAATTTGTATTTTAATTTTTTTTTCCAATATCAATTGTTCATAGAGCAGGTGCCTACCCCCATCTAGTATAATTTATTTACAAAATGTGAATTTTATTTTTGCAATTAATGTTTAAATGTAATTTTTTATATTTTTCTCTTTCCTTCGCAATCTCATTTAATATAAATAAAATTAAAAAATGTTTAAAACATATTTAATAAATTAAATACTATTTTTTAATATTAATGAATTGGCTAAGATGATTTATACTACAAACCCAAGGGGGTATAAATCCATAAAACAAGGCCTTCATTTTGGCTCTGACTATGACGCGGCTTGAATTACATTATTGTTATTACTGCTGCTATTATTATCTGGCACAGGCCCATATAAACAAACATACAATTCGCTTTCCCCGGCAAAAAAAAAAAAAAAACTTACAGATCGCTTACTAATAAAATCTTCACATCGGTAGTAAAATTTAAACTCAGAATCTCATAGATTATAAGTCTAACTTTTTACTAACTGAATTAACTTTTATTGATAATATCAAGTTTAAATAATGGCACTGGAGGGCAGACTTGACAGCGTCACTCTTTTGTGTGGGTGGGTGGTTTTATTTAGAAAAAATCACCCTCAAATCTCATATAACAATTCAAAATGCAAAAAGAAAATGAAGCGACTAAATTATTCAGAATTCTTATATTTTTTAATAAAAAAATTATGAATCTATATAATATAACAATTTTAAGTTATTATAATATGAAGAAGTTATATTTAATGAATAAACTATATTCAGAAAAAAAAATTGTTCTTAAAATGACAAAATGATTATAACTTTTAGATTGGGTAATTGTTTTTCTTCCCATAACACTTTTGTAAGCATCAAGTTATCACTACATTCCTATTAATGAGTCACTTGTAAGAAAAAGTTTGTTCCTAATTATGAGAGGCCACGTGTAGTATGATTGATGAATTTTTTTTTTCAATTTTACAAAAATAAATAAGTGAGAGAAAATATAAAACATATTTTTAATGTGTTTCTTAATGTGTGGGTTTGGAGTACGAATGATTTACAAATAGAAATAAAATGATATTTGATAGAGCAGTTTCATCATTTTTTTTTATTAAAGTAAGTGGGACACATGAACTTTTCTCTTTTGGAAAAATTATAACAAGGTCTCACCCAAGAAAATTAAATACAAAAAAAATATTGAAATCATCAAATTATTCTAAAATCTCAATGGACTTCATTATAAGAGGTTATATTTGTTTAATTACCAAATTACCCTTATTTTTTTTAAGTATGTATTGACAACTAAAAAAATAGTCATTAATAACTTAAGCTATAATAACTAACAACTATCGTGTTAGGTATTAACAACAGATTTTCTCAGTACATCACAAAAATATAATACACGAGTTGTCAATATCTTCTATGATAATTGTTAATCGTCACACCTTAAATTATTAACGATTACACTTTTAATTGTCAATGTATACTTAAAAAAAAAGACAATTTAGTAATTAAATGAATGAAATATCTCCCTTAGGATTTCAAAATAATTTGATAATCTCAAGAAATTTTTTTATATTTAATTTTCTTCTGTGAGATCTTATTGTAATTTTTCTTTTCTGTTCTTTAGCGTTTTTTATAAGCAACTCAAAATAGCTTATGATTTTTTCACGGTGAGATTAGCTTTTGCCTTAAAATTCCCTGCTCACCCAAACAAGGGGCTGATCCATTAAGTTACTTTTAAATTCTCAATCGTGGCCTTCTCCTCTGCCAAGCAGACACAAGAGAGTCTGCTGTTCGAAGTTATTCCATGTCCGTTCTAATAATCTTCATCTACAGGAGTGTATGATGATATCTGCCAAAGGTAAATTGGTTGTAATTAACATAAACAAATCAATTATACTACTTTCAATCCTTAATACTCCTCCCCGTCCTATATATATAAGCTTCACTCTTAAAAAGGAGTTTGGTCCAAAATATAAACTTTATTTTTGAATTTATTACTTTTTTTTTCTATTTTGCTATTAGTAGATTATATTTAGTATTCCATCCCTCTCATTAATATTACCCCCATATATCTTTTTTCATCATTTTTTTATTTATTGCTTCTCACACATTTACTCTGTTAATAAATAAGGACAGATTTAGACAAAAAAAAAACATTTCTAACCCATTTATTATTTTTAACTACTAATTCGTTAAACGTGATTCGGTTATTTGAAACTTATATATAAGACCAGAGGGAGTATAAGAATTAGTTTGACATTTAATTTGATCATAAATATAATATCATAATCCATTTTATCTCTCAGTTTGAAGTAGTTATTGTAGTAGTTACACATGTTAAAAATTCTATCAAATTGTAATTATAACTAATGCACATGATTAGTATATGTATTTTAAGGAAGATAACACCTGTTTATTATAAGTAACTAATTTAATAAATTTTTTAATCTATTTAAATTAATTTAATAGTTACTCTTGTATTAAAGATATGGCGGTACAATGTGGGTTGGTGGAAGGCGGAAGTAGACGAGAAGATTAGGTATCCGTGACATTCTGTGCTTTAATTAATGACATTGGCTGCTTACGCTTAAAAAAGCAAACAAGTCACAACAAAGAGACTTAATTACGCATTGCTTATGTATTAAAAAAAGATCTGATTTGATTACTTCCTCGTGTTACCTATGAAAGCACCGGGGCTTTCACACTCATCGAATTATCTCTGTAAAATCAAATAATCAAAAGGCGCCGTCAAAATTGCACGGAATTAAATGGACATTATCGTTATATGCCTCAGGTTATGGCTCTGTACTGTAAGTACATTATGAAAACAACCACAACAGGTATATTATTGGTCTTCGGCCAATATTCAATACGGGAAGAAACTAGTTATATAATCAACATTAATGTCTTGTTCTAATTAATTTGACTACTTGGAAGCCCAAAATATCTATTATTCATCATTTTATTTTGTTTAACTAAATTTTTTTATAAAAAAAATAATTTGACATAGTTCCTATATATTACCTCTGGTCCATAATATAATAGCAAGTTAACTAATTTGAATAGATTAAAAAAATTAGTTAAGTTAGTTATTTGTAATAAAAAACTAGTCAAGTGTGTTGACTAAAACTACTATTATTACAAAGATTATCTTAAAAAAAAGATGAATAAATACTATTATAAAAAATAAAGTAGATTGGGATATTATATTTAAAACAAAAATAAAAATTAAATGAACTTTTATATTAAGTATCAGAAGTAGTATGATCCAAAACGAAGTCAGCCTAATTAAATGATTGGTTGAAATTTCGCTGTCCGCATATACATTGACTGATAACAGAGAGAAAAATAATTAAGCACCAATAATACATCAATTCCAAATTCTGATGCGTGCCATGAAATTACTTGATTACCCTCCCATAAAATCTTCCATATTAAAGTTAAAAAACTGCAAATTATAATTTAAACGGTATACTAAATTGCAAAGTACAATTGTCGACTTCATGCAGCTCTATATATTAGCTGAACAAGTTTATTCGATCTTTGTCAATTTAATATTAAAAATAAAATTTTTGCGACTGATGTTTTAACTCTTACTATGAAAAATTTTAAAACTTGTTTGAACTAATATATGCAAGCATAGAAATTTTAGGCTGACAAATCAAAATGTAACATTAGTATATTGGTTAATAAATATGTATAATTAAAGACAAAATGTAGATTCCCCTCGATTAATTAAAATTGCTTCATGTACTGAACTCCAACCCAATTTTGACGAAAAGGAAAAACTCCCAATCACCTTTTGGCAACCAAAAAAAAAAAAACCTTAAGCATTTACACTAACCTGGGTTGGTTGATCTTTCAAGAATTTAATTTTGAATTTCTCAGAAAAAATAACAACTTAATGAAGTAATTTTACTTTGTATATTTATTAACAAGGACCTTAATTCAGTGTTGTGCGGTAATTTTAAAACGTTTGATCCCAAACTAAAATTAAATCATTGTATTAGCCCTAGATTGTCCCCCTCCCCCCGATATTAAAGGCAATTTGGGACCAGTTAACTAATGAGAGGCGGCTATAAATCACTTCCTCTATTTCAAAATATCATTATTTTTATAAAGAAATTTTTGTTCCATTTTACCTGTCATTAGATATAGAAATTTTTTTTATCATATACTTTCAATCATTTTAAAATAGCATTTATGCGTGCACTTGTTAACTCTTTTAGTTTTTTTATTATTAATAAAACGAATTAAGTGTAAGTTAATGTAAATAAAATCTTATCATATATATATTATTTGTATTTCTGAATGTGCATGCATAAATCTTATTTAAAAATGGATGAAATAATCAGAAAGGGGACACATATAGATGTCAAACTAAGGACGCTGATTGTCTGGTGAGAAATCATAACATTAAAGTTGTTTAATTTGCCATCACACACTAATTACTATTGGTTGAATAATGCAATTAAACTCATAAAAGGTCAAGGTTTAAGCCAATTAAAAGACATTAGCCTTCAAAGCCTAACTTTTAACTCGTGAAGCAGAAAGTGCCACGGGCCAACCAAAATAACCGCGCACTTGATTGCCTTTTCTAATTATCTTGATGACATCAGATCCAGAAAACTGCGATGTCTCTAACTTTTCATGAATTAGGTGGACTTAGTTTAAAAGGTAACGGCGATATGCATAAATTTCCCCCAAAAAAAAAAGATTTAAAAATAAATGATGTGGTTTTTAATGTTTTATTCAAATAATTTCAGTTAAAAAATAAATATTGTCATAAAGAATCCATCATTCTTACCGCTGTTTTGCCATAAGATATAGGTCAGTACGTAAATAAAATAATAGAGACGAAAATTATTTTGCTAACCCTATTTGAAAAAAATTTTAAAAATATGTACCAATAAATATTATCACATAAGTTTTTTTTTTAATCATATACCCTGCTCTAAAGTCGTTTCAATTCTCTTTCGTCTTTCATATATCATCGTAGCCTTTTCTCTCTCCTCTGAGTCAAATGTTACACCGCTGGCCGCTGGGTGATCAAACATTTTCATGAGATCATCCTTGTGTAACGACGACAACGATTTTATGCATTTATTGGTGCCGATGATCAAATTATACCTGAGCAAAATAAACAAATACTCTAATTAAAAAATAAAAATGAGCGCTTATTAATCAATGACGGAGAGACTTGGGGTTTCCGATACTGGGAAGGAGGAAATCAAAATGGACAATAAAGAGTTAAAAACGACATCCATCTAACATCACCGATTATTAATTGCTTGTTAGATCATTCCAAGTCAAAAAGCTAGCCCGCTAACACGTACGACACTGCGTGCAGCTAAATTTGAACCTAACCCAATGTCTCCTCCGTATTTTGGAAGTCTCATTCCAATTTTAACCACTCCAGTTTTGAAAACCAGAAACTAGTCATGTATATGTATGTACTTATGCACGTATATAAATATTAAAAAATACGGTACCAATTAGTCAAGATAAAACATTTCTTTACTCGATTAATCATAGCAGAATGAATAGCTTTATGTTCATTACTGGACCCTTTTTCTTTCTCAGATTATTAAATTACATAACCATCAACGAGGGAAAAACAAAAGTAACCACTTGTAAATTTAATTTTATTACTAGTCTTGTATATTTTTTAAACATACATCCTAGTGTGTGTAGTTCACAACTATTTCCAAATGCGTGTATAATTATAATATACCACTTCCTGTTCTTAATATATGGGTTGAGTAACTAATTTACAGATATTAAAAAAATTAGTTAAGTTAGCTATTTATATTCTAAATTATTTTTGTTGATCATATGTAATGAACACTCTTTAACATATGTAATCATCACGGATACTACTTTGAGAGAAAAATAAATAAATATGAGAAATAAAGTAGATAAATAAATTTATTTAAAGCCGAAGTCCATCTAGCTTTTATATTCAAGAGGTGAGGTAATATAAGGATATATACTCACATACGCGAAATGTATGATTGAGCGTAGGTATGAAAAGGATGGGATAACGATTACTAATTGTATATATGTGTCGGCAAGCCCGAACGCTTTGCCGGTGATAGCTGATAATCAAACTCGACGATATGTCTTACTCGACTTTGGGGATAGAGCCAGATCAGTCACATTCCATCGGGTAATATAAGGATATATCAGTTGGTGATGCTTACGAAAAGAAGTGACACTGGTAGAGATTTTAGCTCTTTGGCATTAATCACATAAGCAATTAAAAGCTGACAAATATTTTCACCACATTACATCAGTTGCGTAACAAATAAATTTGTAAAAAGATGATCATTTCTTACAAGTATTCGATTGCAAACTTTGCAGATCTTCGAAACCGAATAATAAAATCAGTATGAATAATACAAGTATTCGATTGCAAAGTTTGTAAGTCTCCGAAACCGAATAATAAAATCAGTGTGAATGATACAAGTAACTCAATTAAAATGTCAAGCTCGGGGAACATATTATTAGTAAGTAATCTGCTTACCTGGGCCTATACATCTAATTAGGATCCAAGTTTAGCATTGAAACCCACCCATCTGGCCTCTCAGCATCACCATCTCTTCTTTTTCACGGACCCATCAACGTGTAGCTTAAATTCATTGTGGTTATCTTCTTGCGTACAGATAAGTTTTTTAGCCTTTTGTTAAGTATAGGTATCCTTTTCTTTTGTTAGAAGTAATCTAGTTTGAGATACTATTGGATATTAAATATAAACACTTTTTCTAGCGAGAATTTGAACCACAGAGGAGCTTTTTACATCTTCATAACCAAACGTACATCTCCGCAAATACAAGCAGAGAGGGTGTTCCAAAGTACGTGAAGCCATTATTATTGAATCTGGAAAGTTAGGTACGTATATTGAGTAAGGGTGTTCCAAAGGCCGTTCGCTAGTGCTTCCGAGTTCCGAGTGAGCCTTTTTGTGTTTTGTATGTAGGAAGATGGCTAGATTAAGATTCGCATGTGTAAATCAGCATGTAACTTGTATTATAATTATAACGTTGTCCTGCGTTGATTCTGTCGCGGCTGCTCGTTGAGATATTGGGTCTGTGTTATGTGCTATTTGATTTGCAGATGGCAACATCAGCCCGGCCCATCTAGCCCTGAAAAATAAGTGGGCTGAACTTTAAAAATGCTTAAATAATGTTTTTCAGTACAAGCCCAAAGAGTAGTTTGCTCTGTGCCCACGGCGTGGCTAAGTGGAGGCTTAAATAATGTTGGACAGCATAAAAATGGAATGTTCAGTCATAAGAACTATTGATGTTGAACCCAGTGGGAATTATCCCATATCCTGTCCATAGATAACTTCCCTTTCTTGGGCCAATTGCATACATAACTTTCTTGTTCTGCGCCCTGCGGAAACAAGCTTCTAGTGAGCCAGAATTGAGTTTTGCTTAGCCCGTCTATTTACTTCCACGACCTAAAACAAGTCTTCTCTAAAGTGCCCAAAGAATATCATCATCACAACTAGTTTTGAATTATCATTTTCAAAGCCCTTTGAATGTTGGGTTACATACTAGGAGAAGGCTAGCAACATATCCATAAATGAGAGAGTGCCTCCGAAAGGTTAGGACAGGAAGGGGAATGGAACCAAAGAAACCAGAAGATGAGAGGGAAGGGAGGAAAGTGGAAGGTTCAACGATAATTTTTTGACCTATTTTGAGCAATAAAATTCTTCAAAAATCTTTCAAATGAAGGTATATATCAGCTGACAGACTGGAAGGATCAGTTGACAATTTGCATAATAAAATAGGTCTTATATTTAAAACCGGAGGAGTATTAATTGTCCGAGTAAAAAGAAAGCAATATTCTCAGACAACAAATAGTAACAGTAAAAAGAAAGCTATGTAATTTAATTAGGGACTCGTATGCAGAGTGAGGTAAACAGTGGTCTGAACAACTGCGTCCACCCCATTTCTGATTTGTTGACCAGGTAATAAATGGCCAATCTCAAGTTTGGCATATCCTTTCGCATTTTCATATTTGCCGGTTCCTCCTACCACAGCAACACCAGACTCAATCTCAGCCGTTCGATGGACACCAAAGAAGCTAATAGTGTCCTCCTCCTCGTCGGCTAATAACACAGTGAATGCCACGGTTTTGCTGGTTCCGTCCCATGAACTTGCCAAATGAAACCCCTGTGCTCTACCTATAACTTTCGAACCCACATCACGTCCTCGCGTGACCTCATAGTCCATAACCGTCACTCTCCCAAACAGAACCTTATCCAGTAACGTTGCTCCCAAAGGTAGAGCACCTGGTTTAACATACGGAAGCATGTTAGCGTTGTCAATAACAACGTTGTTGTGAGTGTCGACGTCGCTGATCACGGCGCTTGTTGTGGTGGAGGGGTTTGGGTTATTATCAACAAGAGGGATGCCGCCCGGAATGGGGAAGATTCTGTGAATGGGTTTTGAGAAAGGGAGGTCGTCAGCGGTGGCGACGGTGATGCCGGCGACGACTCTCTCCGACGATGCTGAACCTCCGGAGATGTCATGCATGAAGAAAGTGAAATAACAAGAAAAGGATTCCATGGAAGCACGTGAGAGGTCGGTGAAGGCCACAAGGAGCGCGACGAAGACGGCTCTGCAACAAGGGAATGAAAGCGATTTGGCCATTTCGAGTGGTTAAAATCTGAGAGTTACACTTGAAGAGTTGATATTGAGAGAAATATAATTAATAATAATAGTGCGTTCGATCGACGGATACTGTAGAATTAGAGTGGAGCAGATATGAGTTAAGAAGTTGAGGTCGTCGGTCATGGTATTCCTCTTGGAGTTGTTACGCTTGCACCGTTTGATTTTGTCATGGGAAATTAACCTCCTTGACTCATGCGAGGAAAGTCAGTATATAATAAAGTGAAAAATGAACTTCCAATATGATACTGTAAGTTGCCAAGAGATTCACGCTTGTTTCTATCAACTTCACACAGTAAAATATATCCAAACATATGCTTTAACTAGATGCCACAATCTGGGACAGTATTCCTGTAAAATATTGTTCAAACATCCGTTAAACTATTACATCAATAAAAATTTGACAATAACTAAGAATCTTGATATTTCATTATTTAATTGATTGTTGTTCGAAAGTATTTCACAGACCTTTCCCGTTTCATTCAAAGCTTCTCAATCTAGAGGCACGATTTCTTTTTGGGAATGACAGGAAGTCTTAGAATACTCTTTCTCCATTATTTTTCATTTTATAAAAAATCTTCTTTTTCTCAGACAGTCATCTTATCCTCGTCCTCCTCCATCAATCAACTGATCATTACATTGAACAAATCTGCGTTTAAATGGAGACCCACAACATATGACCCATGCCGTGATTATTCCACAGCTGATTGATTTGGGCCTAGTGACGGGCCTTTAATTGTTTCCTTTGAGCTTGTAGAAGACGATCCAGGTTTGCCTAAAGCAGAGTTGCTTTTGTCAATGGCCTTTTGGAGTTTTGCTGTTCACTTTATCAGATCAACAAAAATTTCCACAGTATATGTAAATTTTATGATAAAAGATGACAAGATAAAAGACGCGCACCATTACCAATAGAGATAGCAATAATCTCTAATATCTGTAAGTTGTAAATGATAGAATTCATTTATCAGATTCAGTGGAATGCAAAAAGAACTTATCTAATTCATGCTTGAATTCTAGGTTTTGTGTATGAAAAAGAATTATGGATACTGTATTACAAAATACTACTCCGGTCCTTAATATAAGACCTGTTTGAATTTTATTTTGATCCTAAATATAAGATCCCAATCCATTTTGTCTCTCATATTTATACATTTTTTTCCAAAGTAACCCTTCTAACACTAATAGTTCTAGTCAATATACTTGATTAGTAAGGATATTTTAGGAAAACAGCACATTATTTAGGACAAATAACTAACCTAACTTACTTTCTTAATCTCCTCAAATTAGTCAACTGGTTTTATAATTAGGACCGAAGGTAGCATTACGCAATATTTTTTAGCTTTGTCATGGCCCAAAATATAAAATAGAATAAGAGGAGGTGGAGGAAAAACAGGGGAGGAAGAAAGATCTAGCAGCATGATCTCTTCAACCATCCAAGAATAAGTTATGGTTACACTCGTCAGGAGAAATAAACTTCTTTTTTTGAAAAAAAAAAATTCAAAGAAGAGTAATAAACTTATTATGCCCACGGCACAAACAGCTTCTGACTCACATTCTTTTCTGCAGTTTCCCTGTAAATGGTCCTGTCATGTCCCTGGATTCAATTGACACATTCATGTGAAACATCCTGGAAGTGAGGTCCATGATGTTCAATAATTTACATTTATTAAAGGACTAATTTGCATAGAAGACCATAATTAAAAACCTGACTAACCAGACACTGCGTGTGTGAGTGAGAGAGAAAGAGAGAGGGAAGCAATTGATTAAGGACATAGAAAAGCAACTTAATCCCTTTATTGAAGGAAACCCCACATATCTTTAAACGCGTGATTATATATTAAACTTAAAAGTCTGTATCACTAAAAGAGACCCACATTCACCAATAAAAAGCTATGTTTTGTTATTGACATTTAATAACAAATCGAAAATTTGCTTTATAGCAAGCCAGCCTATACACGCTTGAATAATCCACTGTATCATGCCCACTGCACAAACAGCTTCTGACTGTTATGGCAATTTCATATGTGATCGCAGGCTTCACAGACTTGAATATTTTCTCTGAGGGTTATGCTTGAGCCTGGAAAAGAATATATATTGACTGGGCTGCAAAATAAACCTGAAAATAAAGCAAAGTTTGATGCATTCGCAAGCATCTGAGTTATTATAAGATGTTGGAACCTATATATCTTGCTGGTACTGAGATTTAGATTTTGGCCTTGAAATTGGAGTGTGCCAAGCTATCATCAGCACAGAATATTCTTATTACACAAATATAACTTATATATGCATATCTAACGGTTCAATAAAAATTAGTTAATTCACTTCGGTTTATTTGTTCTAAGGATAATGCAGTATGAGCAAGAGTCTCACTTTCCCTCTCTCTCTTCTGTCGACAAAGCATGCAGAGATTTCCTTTCTTTCTGTGATCAATATTAAATTATCAAAAACCATTAACAAAAAGGTTTAAAGCAGTTAGTCATAATAGCATATTAGTTACATCTAATCACAAGGCACTTGATGAGTGAGAATTTGTCATTATTAAACTTTGAAATGCCTTCTGAATGATATTATATTTGAAAGAGGGTTTGGACTGGACCTTTTAAAAGCAAAACGATTTTACAAAATCAATAAATAGTAATACAGGCATCACAGGAGCTCATCAGTAAAAGTTGTTCCAAGCCCCAAAAAGATTAATGACAGAGTTGGTTCCATTTTAAAGCTTAACTCTTCTGTTGGTAGAAATGTTGTGCATCTTACCTTACACCTCGTCCATATCCCAAACAGTAACTTACATAATTGAATCAGGCGCAGGGGCCTGGAAGAGAGACAAATAAAAAATAGTTAGGTTAAGATACGATAGTGAAATTCATAAAAAATCAAGAATAGTGTAACTATTGGAAATATTAAAGTCAAAGGTGAAGATTTCACGTTGATATTATGTGTTTGCATATAACAACAACCACTCAATTACTTGATGGAGGTGGCACTTTATCTCAAGGGAAATCTTCGAATGCTAGCATCTTTTGCCAGGCATATGCATGCCATTTTGACATTGATGATTACATTTCTACAGTAGTTAATAATTTTGCTTGATTAAATTTTCTATGTATATAAGCACATCAAATTTGTAATTTCACCATGTTCCTAGTTTCCCTATATACGCTAATTTTATTCGAAACCTGTGCAGTCCAACACAATCTATCGACCATTTTATCTCGTAGCTGTCCTCTTTGATTATTCAGAAACCCTGGAAGTCTGAGGCAAGATTCCTTAATCTTCAAAGCATATATCTCAATCATTTTTATTTAGAAAGTCATGAAATTAAATGGTGGTCCAATACAATACTACTTCTGACAAAGGAGGGCTACTAAGAGTAATCTGACGTCCTTTATGACAATAAATTCAAGTTTCAAAACGTTTCAAAAGTTTCTCACGTCATAGCTCAAGGCTTTTTATTGTTACAGTAATGTAATTTTCATTGATGGCGCTAAACCGTTCACATCCAGAACATCAAAACTAAGCAAGAGTAATAAATTTTTTCTTGGAAATTGATATGAAATATTCACTAAATTTTCTACCGTGAGAAACTGAAATCAACCATATGCGTCTCATAGAAAATTAAAAGACGTGTGCCGTCTAGAATGCAAGAACAGAGTGATGTGTCAATAATAGAGGCTTTCTTAAGTCTTCAACTGTACTAGTGCTACTAATCATGTCGCAACAAAGCTGCTCGCACAGCTCCTCTTAGCCCCACAAAGAAAAAAATAATATTTGAAATACAATTTTGAGTCCTCGAACATCCACTTAGCTTTTTTCTTAGTTTTGTCCTTTCTCTTTCCTCTCCCTCTCTTATCCACCAAATTTAAATAACTTGGATCTCTTCGTCAGATCTTCAAGTTTCAAGTTTCAGCTATGAAGGGAATGGATCTGTTCTGTTCATCACCTGCTTCCACAGCAGTGATCTCCAGTATGGATAAACGGTTTCAGGTTCGCCGAAGCCCCAAATCATACGTTCATGATCGAAGGAAAAGCCAACCACGTCTTCCTTGTTCATCACACTTCCCCATTAATCCTAAGCCTTACCGCGACATGCTACCCAGAAAGAAGACTACTTCTTCGGATAAGCAAAACGACGATGTTCGTAGAAAAAGCTGCGTTGAAGTTAGCGACCTGTATGATAGCCAACCTACTTCCTCCTCCCGAAGATATTTACTCAGAGACGACGTCCCTTTCATTGATTGGGTGTCACAGTCTGGCCAAATGCCAGAAATACCCAAGAACAAAGATAATTCTTCTCCTGCTCCAAGTTCCAAGGACCAGGTATTTTTTTATTATTAATGCTTGCTTAACATATTAATTTCTATTTTTCTGTTTTCATTCTCTGACTTCTTTTGATTCTTGTCATTTTGCTGCTTCTTGTTGACAAACATGGAGTCAGGGATGGTGAATGACAATTAGTGTAATGTTTGAATTATTGTACAGGTTGTGGTCTTGAGGGTGTCACTGCACTGCAAGGGCTGTGAAGGAAAAGTGAGAAAACATATCTCAAAAATGAAAGGTGTGAGATTTCGTTCATTAATGCAGCATCTTTACGATTTTTGAAATAACAGCAAGAATATCACCGAGCATGATGATTATTATTATCTGTGCAGAGTAACGATGGCCTTTATAGTTACCAGAGAGATTTGTGAATTGTAATATGTAAATATATACTCCTCCGGTTCTTAATATAGGACCCAATTGTTGAGTTGGTTTTGGTCCTAAATATAAGACTCATTTATCATATTTTTTAATTTTCTCTAAATTACCCCTATATATACTCCCTCAAACATAATCAAGTAGAAGAAGAAGAAGATGGGGTATTAAGAAAGATGATTATGGTATTTTAGGAAAAATGTGTCACATTTCTTACAATTAACTAACTTACCTAATTTCTTTAATCTAATCAAATTAGTTAAATGGGTCTTATATTAAGGATCGGAGGAGTATATGATGTATGTGCATATGTGCATGAGAGTATTCTACACGCACACACAGATATCTTCTAATACAAAATGGTTAAGACGAAGATTTATATTGTGCATATTTATGTAGGAGTAACATCGTACAGCATAGATTTGGAGACAAAGAAAGTGACGATCATCGGAGACGTGACACCGTTAGGTGTACTGGCGAGTGTGTCAAAGGTGAAGAAAGCGCAGCTTTGGCCATCTTCATCGTCTACGCCATCGTTTCTATGGTCAACAATATGAATTAATTAGATACCGTATTTTCGTTAATTTACTGCTTTCTATTGTTTGTTTGATGAGTCTTGGGTCGTTTGCTTGTTTCATGTTTGTCTTTGTAATTATAGGAAGTCTCTAATTTAGATGCGTGGTAATGAAGCCTTTTTTACTGTTTTTGTGTGACAGAACTTGATTTCACATTAATTAAATCCATTCCTTGGGCTGGCAATTTTATCAATGTACATGTGTTATTGTTCAGTCATGCTCACATATGAAACCCACCTAATTGTGGGTCATCAAATGATGCTAAATTATCAGAAAAAAAGGTGGAGGGAGACAGGACACAGCATGCGAGGCAATGGCAGCAGAAGGCACTCAAACAACCAGTCTGTTAAATTGGAATTCTAGAAAATATAATTACTTACGTGACAAAAATGAATTTGGAATCTGACTATTTTAGTGCAACAAGGACATAAAGTAGGTAGAGAGCTTCTCTTTTCTATCCCTCGTCGTCTTCTTTTGTTTATTTTATACTTCATTTACTTGGAGGGTTTGGCACATTTGATTTAATTTCTTTGACTAAACCTTGTTGGGCAGCAGCAAAGGAAATATCTGAACAATTAGTTGAAAAGCGAACCCCCATAAATCCTGCATAAATATACGAATATATATATATATATATAATTCAAGGGGTAAGTAGATCTTTGGACCAGTTAGCTGTAGACATTAGTTGGGAGATATTATAATATATTCCTCTGATTCTAAATATAAGATTTTGTTTGTAATCTACAAATGATGTTTATAATTAAGACTGAAGGAGTAGTTGAAAACCCATTAAGTGCTTTATGTGAAGGACCACACGTGAAGGGTTGACGGCTTTCGGTGCAAACTGATAACAACAACAGAAGGAGAAGCAGCAGAATCCCAAGGAAAGAACCGAGAATGAAAGTAGAAAACGATAGGTTAAGGAAAAGGGCTTTGACTTGGATCAAACAAACGTTAATCGTTTTCAAATCCGTGTGGGGGAAACATATTTTATGAATAGAAATGCATAGGATTTGGGTGTAGATACTTACTTACTTGAGGCTTTGTTGGGAAACCAAGTCAACAGGAACATGCATCCAAAAAAGGAAGGAAAAAGAAACACACACTTGTATGCTTTACAGGCATTGTCTTCAGTAATAAAATAGCCTTTGAGTTTCACGTAGAAACACGCGTTTAAAGATATGTGGGGGTTTTCAATTCTCTCTCCCTTCTCACTCTTATCACTCAATTTTTTATTAATTGTGGATAAATGTAAATCATTGAAAATCTTATAGACTCCTTCGTCCTTAATATAGGACCCAATTGTTGAATTGGTTTTGGTCCTAGTCATGAGCACCTCTCCCAGTATAAAATAAGATAATAACGTGTGTTTAAAAAAAAAACACTAACATGACTCAGAGAAGTTATACAGGGCCATTCACACTCTCGGCAATAGAGCCCACGGAAAAGTTATGGAGCCCAAAGCCTCCTGGACTTTGGTTTGGGCTTATCGTCAATGCCTTGACTAACTTTTTGACTTTTTGGGTCTCTCTAAGCAGTTGCATGCTTCCAGTAACAAAGAAATGAAATCCAGTTAGGCCGATCACTTTAATTGTAATTTCACAATTTGCTTCCGGAGAATTGGAGAAATTACATAATACTACTATAATTATCATTTATGACACGACAACAACTACGACAAACGGTGTTCCAGCTAAGAGGGGGCAAATAGAAATAAGACAAAGTTGTGGGTATGAGCATTAGCATTAGTCAGAGTGAGTCATTTCATGAATGTGAACCGATTTATTTTGGAATTTTGAAGGATTTTTCAAAAGACAACAAATATTGCAGCCTAGAATTCCCTAATTTGTATGCATACTTGAGGCCGCGCCCTGTCGATTTGCCTCAACCAGCGGCAGACGCGGAAGCATTTCTGCTGTTTGCCAGACATTTATGACTTTCTCTTTTGCACTCGTATATATAATTCCTTTTTCATTATTTTTTTAATATGTAATCCTTAATTTCTTTATTTTCCTGGACTCATTATTTCTGCTGCACTTTAATGTCCTGCATCAAGTTAAATGTGGAAACAACACAATTTTCTGAGTAATTTATTTTATGTGCGTGTGTGTGTGAGAGAGAGAGTAGATTGTCCAAAATGAAGTAAATTTCTTCTTTCAATTATTAACCCTCGGCTGCAAGTTTAGGAATCAGGGGCAAAGGAACGTGTTCCCACAATGATACAGCCTAATTATCTCAAGGTATATGAGATTGGATAAATGATAGGCTTTTGTCAACTAAATTTACTCCATACATATTGAGACTTGAGCTCGCAATCACTTGTTTAGGAATGAGTCATTTTGTGCTATAAAATATAGAGTTTCCTTTTGGAAAAAAAATTGTAACTATAAAAGCCACTCAAGCTTATTTTGCTGGACGATATAAATTACACACACACACATATAAAAGAAAGACAAGAAAAACGTCTCCACTCAATAAGGCAGAAGAACAAACCAAAGAGACGGATGACTTGATCGAAGTGACAAGGGTTCGTATTGGAAGGCTAATTCATTAGTGAAAACGATAAAGCGCGTGAGATGAAATAAGATTGGGATTCAGTTGCTCGTATTTTATATATACAAAAATAATATTCATGGGGAAATTAAGATTCCCAGGAAAATTCCCCAGGAACTTGCACCAAATTTAAAAAGGGGGGGAAAAAAACTAGCTTTCTAGAAAACCAAGGAAACTATCCATGTAAACCAAACAACTCTCGGTTTAATTTGTGGATGAAAAACTGGATATTCAAGGTATAGTGACGCGTATGTGGCTCCAGCTAAAGAGAGAATAATGCGCCCTTTAATGAGAAAAATTCAACAATTAATTAAAGTTTATTACCATTCCGCATATATAGACCGTAGGCGGGTCATTTTCAACATTCGGATTAATTTTACATAAATAATTTCAAAGAGAAAAACAAACAAATAATTACATGCCGTCAATTTGCTGTCATTTTAATTAATTCCATGTATACATTCGCCCATGCTAACAGCTAACGGTTAGTCTGCACCCTGCACTGTGCCAGTTCGTTCCCGACTATAATATAAATAATCTAAAAAAAATAGATTATTAAACTTCCGATGAATCCCTCTCGCGCAAGGTAATTCTGTGGTATTGGAGACGCGTGATGAGCAGGATCCTAACTAGTTAAGTAGCTGCATGAGAGAGCGTAGTTGCGTAGGCACCAAGATTCATGTAGAAAAAACGAGGATGCGCTCCTGACCGAGTCAACCGTTTCGATCTCCGGGTTTATAAAACCCCCTCGTCTTCCAACAACCCTCCCAATTCAGCCACAAAACAAAGTGTAATTTCTTCAGTACTATTCTCACTAGGGAGCTGGAGGAGCAATTCAAGCTCAGAGACTCAACAACACAAGATAAAATGCCCAGAAAAGGAATGAGAAGCGTCTTCTTCAGGCCCTCACCTTCATGCACCCTCTCTGATTCGTTAATGGACGAGAATATTGAGATCGCACGCTCTCTTATTACCAAATGGGATTTTGAAAACTCCCCTTCTCACGCCGGAACAACTCTTTTCATCGGTGACCGCCGAGAAGCGAGACAATACATCGACGCTGTCAAGCGCCTACAAGCTGCTATGCAGTACCTCATCGCACAGGATTCCACCTCCCAGAAGCTCGTGCAAGCTCAGCTCCTCATGCAACTTGCCATGAAGAAGCTTGACCACGAGTTTCATCATATATTAGCGGCAAACCGGGACCATATGGACGCTGAATCCGTGTCGAGTCGGTCCTTCACGTCGGACTCGAGGACAAGCATTTCTGATTTTGACGAGGAACTATTATCCTCGGAGGATGATTTTCGTTTTGCTGGCGGCGATCCCATCACGGAGACGGAGAGAGTGTCTATGCTGGCAATGGCAGATTTGAGAGTGATTGCGGATTGTATGTTTTCATCCGGGTACGGTAAAGAGTGTATCAGCATTTACAAAATTATGAGGAAATCGATCGTGGATGAAGCGTTGCGTCATCTTGGAATGGAAAGTTTGAGTTCATCTCAGATCAAGAAAATGGATTGGCAAGTGCTCGACTGGAAGATTAAGAATTGGATGAACGCAATCCGAGTGGCCGTCAGAACTCTGTTTTACAGTGAGCGAATCCTCTGCGACCATGTCTTCCCGAGATCAGAGAAAATGAAAGAGGTCTGTTTTGCGGAGATTGCTCGAGACAGCGCCACGTTTCTGTTAAGATTTCCAGAACTCGTCGCCAAGTGCAAGAAAACCCCCGAGAAGATATTCAGGACTCTGGACTTGTACGAAGCAATCAGCGATCATTTGCCTGAAATTCAATCCATCTTCTCGTTCCAATCAACCTCCGTCGTCCGCTCACAGGCCGTTAGCTCTCTAGATATGCTTGGCCAATCCGTCCGTACGATGCTCTCCGACTTCGAAACTGCGATTCACAAAGAATGCTCCAAGAAGCCGGTGCCAGGTGGTGGGGTCCACCCGCTCACGAGGTACGTCATGAACTACATCACATTCCTCAACGACTACAGCCGTGTGCTCGTCGATATAGTCGCCGATTGGCCGCTACCATTTCAGTCTCCATTGCCGGAGTCTTGTTTACCGAATTCCAACCTGTCAGAAAACGAGTCATCGGCGGTGACGGTGCGAATAGCTTGGGTGATAATCGTCCTCCTCAGCAAACTCGACGGCAAAGCAGAATATTACAAGGACGACGCGCTTTCGTACCTGTTCCTCGCTAACAACCTCCAATACATCGTCAGGAAGGTTCGCACTTCAAGTCTTAGAATTCTCCTGGGGGGTGAGTGGTTGGAGGGTCACGAATCAAGGATCAAAGAGTACGTGTCAAAGTATGAGCGTATGGGTTGGAGCAGGGTGTTGACGTCACTACCGGAAAATCCTACTGTAGAGGTACCGCCTGAGAAAGCGAGGACCTGGGTGAGGAGCTTCAACGTCGCGTTTCATGAAGCTTACAGGAAACAAAGGTCGTGGATAGTGTCAGACCCAAAGCTACGAGACGAGATCGAACGTTCGATAACGTCAAAGCTGATGCCGCGGTACAGGGAATTGTATGATAAGTATCGGGTCGGGTTGACAGGGGGCAGAGAGTCGGATTCAATTAGATTATCGCCCGATGACCTGGAGAATTATTTGTCAGGCATATTGCATGGGAAGAGAGATTTCGTCACATTCTCGTCGTCTCTCCAATCGTTCATGAAGTAAGTGGCCACCAACTCGCGTGGAAACGGCATGGAGGACCTCGATCTTATAGTCGAGTGATCTCGCGCGGACTGTGTACATTGGAGACTCCGACCTTCGGGTGAAGCTTCGTAGCAGTAGCAATAACCGTCTATTAATTATGTGTTTTCTTTTATATAATACTAATCTTTATATTTATTTTCATGCGAGTCGTGATACCGAAAGAGTGCTGATGGAATATTAATATATGCTAGTTTTTACTATCGATATTGCGATCGACCTGGAGCGTTTCAGATAAGAAATGGAACCATTCTTTAAAATAAAAAATGGACGCTATTTTCATCGCTAATGTTTAGCGTTTGTTATTCTGTGGTCAGTGGTTGCTGAATGCTGGCAAGCAGTGAAGAAAAAAACGGAAGAGACAAGATTATATATTCCAATCAAGGCGGATGGAGGGGGTAGAGGAAGATAACATAATTGGAAATTTAGACATTCCATTTATGAATACGGTTATGAAAATAAAATATGCATGCTTCAATTGATATTTCATAACTAATTGCTAATTGTTATCATCTTTGGGGGGGGGGGGACACCAATACGTTTCATTTACAATATATAGGCGAATTAGTCGTTAATTTCCAAACTTGACATCCTAGGAATAAAAATTTAAAAGATCATTTCTCACCAGGAATATACTACCTCCTGTCTTTAATACAAAAACTCATTTGATTTTTATTTTAATCCTAAATATAATATCTCAATTTATTTTGTCTCTTATGTTTATCTATTTTTTCCAATACAGTCCTTGTAATAATAGTGATTTTAGCTAATACATTTTAATTAGTAAAGATATTCTAGAAAAGATAACATCTATTTATTACAAATAACTAATTTAATTAATTTTTTTAACCTATTCAAATTAGTCAACTAGTTTTTATATTAAAAATAGGAGGTAACACTTAATTTTTACTGAGAAAAATAAGGAGAATCGCAGCCCATTTGAATATAAAAATGAAAAAAAATGCAGGCAGTTATATTTTTCACAATTTGTAAATTTATCTCAGAATCTGTATTGATGCATGAATCCCAGTAACTCACCCTGATCCGTTAAAATGTTTCAAGGCCTGGGCATTCACAGTGAGAATGATCTCCGGTGAAAAGGAGAACCATGTCAAGTTCTACTGTGCATTTGGTCTGTTTCTTCTTCCGTGTCCCACTGTACTTGTGGCCCTTTTCCACTTTGTAAAAGGTTTAATTAAAAACGCTCCTTTTTTTTGGTACGAATCAAAAAGGTTCTGGTGCGCATAAACGATTAGAATACATGTGGCCATGACAGGCCCATGGCTTGTTTTGTCAGTCCATTACCATTATGACCCCAGCTAATGCATGTGAATTATATGGAGTTGCAGGCTGCCTGAGGCTGCTTGATCGTAAGAGGGACGGCTGCTAAATAGACCTGGAGTTGGGCCAGGGGTTGAGCTAGCTTTTCACAAAGTTTTTAAATTTTGGTTCAGAGATGTATTCATATTTAGGCTCTGTTTGGGTGCTCCAAAACCGTGATTTCAGAAGTACTTTTCCACAAAACGAGATAACCTCCTCCACATATTTACTTCGTAATCCGTAAAAGCACTTCTGAAACCATGGTTTGGTTTTTATCCAAACACTCCCTTATACGCAAAATTAAAAAGCAAAGAATGGGGGGGACCAGGCCGCTCTCTTATATATCGGTTTCGTAACTTTCTCATTAAAAGCCAAAAGCTGCCTCGTCCCCTTCATTTCCTTATTTTTGCCCCCTGCTCTCTCCATCCTCCCAAAGCTGGCGCCTCATTAATACCGCCTATCCTCTATAACTCCACTCTCGCGCGTTCAAATTCTCCCCCAAAATATCTATTTTCCGTCACTATTATATATTATACATGCTTTTATCGACCAGTCCTAGACTACGACGCATAACTGTAATCGGATTCCAGACCAAAAAAGCAGAGTGATGAACCTTGGTTAGGGTATCTTTTCTTCGAGCTAACAAATCGGCCGCGGCTTTAATAGAGTCCGGTCAGCCTGCTAATTATTCTAGGGCTGCTCACAGTCACACACCCTTTTTCTTTTTTCAGAAGCTGAGGTAGTTGTTCGCATTCAATATTATTTGTTGATGGAAAAAGCAAGCTTCGTCGTCGTTACATCACGCCCGAGCCAGTGGAGAGCTATATGATATATCAGCATCAGACTTCTTATTATTTAACAACAAGAAAGCTTGACTTTAGCTAAATAAGGCAAAGCCGACTTAGTGAGGCCTCTGTTTTTGGTGTGAAAACCGTAATTTCGCCTACATATCTATGATCTATCTTAGCATCTACTACTGGCCCATGAGGGCAAAATCATATCTATCTAATAATGTACGTTTTCTTGAGGGGGTTCCTGTATCTTCATTCATTATAAGAAATGTAATCACGAGTTATTGAGATGAGATTTGAACAAACTATATATGCCACAAAAAAAACTGGATATTATGATAAGGGAAAAACTGAAGTCTGGTTCGTTATATCTATTATGTCAAGTTCTCCAATCATATATGATCATGTATTCCTTTTTATTTTATATAGATTTATAATTAAATACTATTAAATGTTAATGTTTTTAAAATATGACACGTGGTTACAACATGTGCTCCCACTTGTAAACCGTCTCTTTCATTTATTCAAAATTTTACTTATCAGCACGTGATTACAACTAAACATAGAGCCTCATAAATGAGCACCAAAAGCATACTTTAGTCATACTTGAAATTATCTTCTAATCTAACATTCACATTCGCGCTATCTTGACTTTATCATACTCGTAAATTGAGATCATCATGAGCCAAAATGAAGTTTTCGGTATTTAATTTTTATTCTGCTGCTGGATTTAAAACTCCTCAATCGAAGGATATTAACTATTAACTATGGAATTATGATTTAATAGCGTCGAGATTCGAGATAAATACTTTTATTTATTTTTTAAAAAATAAAATTGTAACTCTCCTTCCGACACCATTACAAACATAATCCGATATCTCTCAATTGAACTTCAATTGTGGGGGTCCCTAAAAAAACGGAATTGTTAATTGATTGTGATTGATTCGAAATATCAATTACAAGTTGGCTGGCTTAGAGATTTCGAGATGGCGACAACAAGACAGCATCAATTTTGATACTGAGAAAATATCTAAAGAGGATAAGTATATAAAAAAGGACGAAAGGAGTGTTTGTGTTGGTGATAGATAAATTACATCCGCAGGCATTAGCCAAGCGATGGATGCAAAAATATGAGAAGTACCTCTGCTCCTGGAAGCATACGTAAGAACTCTCCAAGCCAGATGCCTTCGTTGTGAAATTAATTATAAAGAGTATATTGCAACATAAGTTATTGACAAAGAGGAAGTGAGACCAAAAGACTCGTGTTAATAATTAAGATGTGCCAGTGATGATAAACCTCAAACTTTAATAAACAACAATAATAGTCCTTACCTGGCTACGCCTTCTACTTATTCTCATCACGTAACTAACAAAAAAGTAGTTTAAACTAAATTTAACATTTTAAAAATTACAGTCGCATATATATAGCCACGAATGGTTAACGTTGGGTTTGTTTTATCTTTATATTAAAAATATGTTCCTTTACATATTTTCAAAGTAAGATTGTGCTTAAATATATATACACACTGATCGAAGACAGACACAAAGTGCACTTTTTCTTTTTTAAAAACAGTCTATGCCTGTGTTTGGATTGCAGTTGGAGAAGCCCAAAGTATATAGGAAAGTGTGAAACTGAGGTTAGTGGCTTATTGTGACCTAAAAGATTGTTTGGATGGGCCTTCTTTTCTAACTGACTTATAGAAAAAAGTAATTTTTCTAACTGACTTATCCAATACAATTTGAATCAACTTTTCTAATTGACTTATGAAAAAATTGTGCAAAGCTTACCATCTAATTAGTCATGTGATTTCATTTACTTTAATCAGAGACCAAATAAATTTTAATTTACATTCTTGTTTATCTATTATGTATATTTAATTAATTATCTATAATGTGTTTTCAAATTTTTCTCCGTAACAAATATTTTTATTTTATAATCTCATAAATAAACTATTTATATTTTATCATAATAATTTTACATATTTTTTAAACTATTACCACATTAAAAATATAAAATTTCAAACACTACTATTCAATAAAGTCCATACCCTTTTCAGTCATTTACAACTAAACTAGCTTTTTTATTAATTATCCAAACAACTTTTAACTTTTTCAACTGATTTTTTATAAACACCTATCCAAACATAAATCGTACTACAGTCTAACTTCAGTTACAAAAGTCAGTAAGACTATACGTCAGTTTTGTCCAATGCCAATCCAAACATACTCTATATTTAAAATATAGTGATTTCGCCGGAAAAAGAAAAATAAAAATATACGTCAGAGTTTTCCTCTGCGTATCTACCACACTGGCTCTTTTATAAATGTGGATAACCACAAGGAGAAAGCTATTTACTGTGACCATAGCAATGGCCTTTTATCTCCAGAGCTTGAAGGGAGAGACTTTCTGTCTTGCACCTACCCATACCCTGGATGGGACTCTGGGCCTTGCTTTTTATTTTTCCTTACGGTAAGAGGGTTCTGCACCGTGACCTGTTTTCTTTTATTTTCACCTGCGAAAAATTCCCTTCACTTTTACTTGCCTTAGCTTATATAAAATTATTAATTTTTTTAAAAAACGTAACGCATCAATTTGATTTACATCCTGCAATTATTTTTAACGTCACGACATTAAAAAAGAGTCATAAATTACCAAGTTGAGGATTAACATAAATTACAAAGACTCGTGCAAAAAAAACAATTATTTTTGAAAAAGATGTATTACACCTTACCTTTTTTGGGAGATTATAACACCTGGATTTTTAGAACAGATGGCGAAACATGTGTGTGTGTGTGTGTGTGTGTAATAACTTTTAAATAAAATATCAGATATAATCTTGGAGCTTTCAATTTAGGCTGTACGATACTCATCCGCCTCAAAAAGAGATTAATTAGCGTCAGGCAATGAACGTAACTAAGTGATAAATCGAAACTTAATTATTGTATTAACTGTTTTGTTGAAAAGGAAGGGGAAGCCATTTATGAAGGTGGGCAAACAGTGTTTGCTAGAGTTTCATGGAAGTCGCAGCCTCACTTGCTGTGAGTGCCTGGCTATAAAGTAGTCCATTTTGAAATTCTCATCCTCCGACAAATTTCTCAGCCTATCTTCTCCTCTCTCTCTCTCTCTCTCTCTCTCATTCGCAGCAATAATGGACCCTCTCACTGTACTCTACATCGTTCTGGCATCCTGCTCCTGCTTCATGATCTGGAAATTCTTCGACCGCAAAAAAGACCAAGAATGCTACATCCTCGACTACCAGTGTTATAGACCCACCGACGATCGAAAGCTCTCTACCGAGTTCTGTGGAAGAGTCATCAAGCGAACCGAAAACCTCGGCCTCAGCGAGTACAAGTTCCTCCTCAAAGCCATCGTCAGCTCCGGCATCGGCGAGCAAACGTACGCCCCAAGAAACGTCTTCTCCGGCCGCGAAGCCTCGCCCACTCTCGCCGACGGCGTCTCCGAGATGGAGGAGTTCTTCCACGACAGCATTGCCAAGCTTCTCGCCAGGTCAGGCATTTCCCCCTCCGAAATCGACATCCTCGTCGTTAACATCTCCATGTTCGCTTCCCTCCCCTCCTTGTCCTCCCGCATCATTAATCATTACAAAATGAGGGAGGACATTAAGGTTTACAACCTCACCGGCATGGGTTGTAGCGCTAGCCTTATTTCTCTCGACATTATTAAGAATATTTTCAAGACTCAGAAGAACAAGTACGCTCTTTTGGTCACTTCGGAGTCCCTGAGTCCGAATTGGTATTCTGGGAACGACAAATCCATGGTTCTGGCCAATTGCTTATTTCGCTCCGGAGGGTGTGCCATTTTGTTGACCAATAAAAGGTCCTTAAAGCATAAGGTCATGTTGAAGTTAAAGTGTCTGGTGAGGACCCATCACGGGGCTAGAGAAGAAGCGTATAACTGTTGCATTCAGAAGGAAGATGATCAAGGAAGGCTAGGGTTTCACCTTGGGAAGACTCTCCCAAAGGCAGCCACTAGGGCTTTCGTAGACAACTTAAGGGTAATCTCACCTAAGATTTTACCCATGAGGGAGTTGCTAAGGTTCATGGTCGCGTCCCTGATCAAGAAGCTCAACGTTAAAGGAAGCTCGCCCAAGTCTTCAAGCGGAGTAACAAAATCGCCATTGAATTTCAAAACTGGGGTGGATCATTTTTGCTTACATACAGGAGGAAAAGCAGTGATAGATGGGATCGGAATGAGCTTGGATCTGAGCGAGTACGATCTGGAGCCGGCGAGGATGACCCTGCACCGGTTCGGGAACACTTCTGCAAGTAGCCTGTGGTACGTGTTAGGGTACATGGAGGCGAAGAAGAGGTTGAAGAAAGGTGACACAGTGTTCATGATAAGTTTTGGTGCAGGCTTTAAATGTAACAGCTGTTTGTGGGAGGTAATGAGAGATGTGGGAAGTAGGAATGTGTGGGACGATTGTATTGATGACTATCCACCAGAGTCTCTGGCCAATCCATTCATGGAGAAGTATAGTTGGATCAATGACCTGACGGTGGAGGATCTGCCCAACGTGCAAATCCCAGATTTTCTCAAGTAAATCGGTTCGTTGCTGGTGGGATATATGGTGGTTTAATTTGCATTGTTTGAGATATTATTTATTTTGCATATTTTTCTCTGCACACTTATTAATTATACTCCCCTTATTGTTAAACCCTTCAAGGGTTCATTACCCAATAAGGTGTGCTGCTTCTAACACGCACCATCGAAGAAGTGTGCCACTGATGAAAGGGTATTCTCTGCTCCCCTCCTAGTTCCTCTTTTTTTCTTTTTCTTTTTTTTCCTTATTTGCTATGCTTAACAGTTTAATTTAATTTCTCTTCTACTTGGAAAAAAAGTGAAAAAAGAGAAAATTAAGAAAAATGTTGTACTTTTTGCCTTATAATCAATCATATATATGAATTCCCTATCAATTGATATGATGGGATTTTTTTTCTGGGGGTACGTTTGTATAAATGCTTTCTCCACGGATTTTATTTTCTTTTATTTTGTCATCAATGCCCATTATAGGAAATTGTTTCTTGTTATGTATGCGTAGTGAGTTCAAATTTCCATTGCAGAATTAAGAGACTTCTTTTATATGCCTCCTCCTACTACACGTTACTAATTTATTGCATTGTTATGACGCTTCTGAACTAAATAAATAGCAGTGATTGCCACTTTACTGAAAATTAAACGTCACTTAGAAAAGCTGTACTCTACAGATATGAATAGTCAATTCATGTAACATTGCCAGAAATTTGCTTCAGACCAGCTTGATTATATGACTTTATTACTTTGTTTTATTTTTTGGCCAACAAACCAACTAGCTAGGTATATATAGGAGAAACTTTAAAGGTAATGATGTTGCAATTAATCAAGAGATATTCTGAGTAAAATTGAATGTTAGGAGAAACTAATCAGTGTTGTATGTTATTGTACTAATTGAAGAAAAAGCCAGTTAGTATTTCAGATTTAACATCAGAGTAGTGATTTGGATTATAAAACACCGAACAAGGCTAGTAGTTGCTGGTTGATTAATAGTATATCCCCAGATGGGCTTAGAACTCTATGAAGCGCAATAAATATAGTGGAAAAAGGTTACCAAACGTTGATATATATATATATATATATTTATATTTATATATATACACGTGAGGAGGTGGTGATGGAGCCCGCGGACAGTTCAGCAGCAACAGATTCCGCAGCCCTGCATTGAATTTTTAACGTCGTCTCACTGGAGACAACATCATGAAAGAAAAAATCTTGTAACATCATCCAAGTGCTTTAATTGCTTATACATCAAATAATGCTTTAGCAAACTCATCACATGCTCCTGTCAATGGTCTATTTAAACTCTAAAAATTGCCATTTAGCTACTCACATTTCTTGGTCCTCCTTTATTAATTAATGTCTCCATCGTGCCCCTTATTTTGTTTGTCAACACACAAGATGTTGAGGTCTGTCTCTTATAGCTTCCTAGGGAACCTGACTTATCTTAATTTGAATACTTATGAGCGAGTTTAAATCGATCAAGACCTTTCCAGTTCTCGATCTGTCTCTTTTGGTATTAGTGCGAGGGAGAGGACCTGGGAGCCAATTACAGACTGCTAAACTCAAACGCATACGAAATAAAATAGCTAGTGTACGTACGTAGTAGGTAGGTTAAGGTATTCATCACTGTTTGTAATAAATATTAGCAACTGATTATTAATTACTATTATGATTATGTTATGAGGCTTGAGGTGAGGTGTGTACTGTGTAGAGCAGCGAATTGAAGGAGCTGCAAAAGCAAAAAAGGAAGGGCAGGGCAGGGCAATAAATGTGGAGGGAGGAAGAGATGGATGTGGCCAAAAGCCCAAAATTGTGAAGTAATTTATTTATATCGTCTGGTGGATGGCTTTTCCTTTGGCTCGCTTCGTTTCTTTCTAGTCTTTTCCTCATAATATTAAATATTTCGCCAAGTCTTTTGGTGCTGCATGTGACCCCTTGCAGACAAGTTCCCACCCTATTAATACTGCATTTCCTTATATACCTTCATTGCGCCACTAAGATATGTATCCTATATTAATTGAATACGCCTATCGGATACATGTATATTATGGCAAATTATAAATTCAACAAGTTTAAAGTTGAATTGAATTGAGCTTTTAATAACATATATATATTCGGCTTATTACTAAAATTCCATTAAAACACACACACACACACCCTCACAAATAACGTATATATATGGCGAGCGGAGATTTGTGGCCATAAAGATTTTGATTTTTTATTAGTGTGTAATATTAATATGTTTTTTATGACAAGTTTAATTGGGAATCACGGGTTTTTATGAATTTTTCTAGGAAGCAAATTTAACAGTTAGTTGGGGTTGTTAAAACTTCAATCAAGAGGTCATGTGTCAATTAAAGAATTAAAAATAGACTTTCCAACGTCTACTAACTTTTGATATAATTCACTAAAATTATGAAATTTTGGATTTACTGTGTTTATTTATATTGTTAGAATTCATAATTTTTTTTAACTGTGAATAGTAAAATTGTTTTCTAAAAATTGTAAATATCCCTCGCATTAAATGATTTTGATGCATCATTAGGATCCAAAGTTACTCTTTTATTGATACTTACCTCTTTTAATAACACTAAAGATGCATCATTAGGATCCAATTTTTACAAGATAAAAGATATTTGTTTCACTAACACAATTAAGATTTATATTGCTAAAAAGTTCACAATATACATATTTCTTTTAATTGTATATTTCAAATATTAAATATAAATATCTCAAAATATTTATATTGTATTAGTTATATATTTTATGTATTTTTTATATTTTATCCCAAACCAATAACATCCAACCTCATCCTTGTGCTCTTCCATTCCATCATTGAGAGTCCCAGATTCGGCTCCCAGAGAGCTTATTTTTGTCGACGAAAAACAATAAATCCCGTTCTCTGAGTACGTTTCTTAATTATATATATGGCACATGATATTGAATCCACAAATATGGAAGAGTGAGTCAAGAGTGCACGAGGAAGAAAAACTAGTAGTAAAAATGAAATGAATGTTGAATTATATTAACATATAGCAATTTTCAGGTTCCCAGTGATAAGCGATTGAAATGGAAAAGAAATAGCAAAGCAATTTTTATTTTTTGAGAGTTCTTCGTATTTTGATTTAATTTCTTGAATAATTTCATGAATTCTCAAATCCAACATATAATTAACTTCTTTAAATTTTTCCTTTCCCGAATATAGTTTTTTTATGAACATTTTCCAAACATGTTTAGCTTGACTCTAATGAAACTATAGCAGATCAATGTGTATCTGCAAAGAGCTCAAAATAAATCACATTATTTATGAACCTGTAAACAATACTTTTTAAATTAATATACATTGTAATGTTTATTGTTTTCTGTTTTCTTATTTTTCATTGGAACTGCTTGTCATGGAAACAATTAAAGCTTATCACGTTAATACTGAGAAAGTGTGTGGCGTACCATGAGTTAAAGTTATCGAATAAATAATGAAAAATGTCCTTCCTCCCGAAAATAAACGTTAGTGACTTACTTCTGTTTTTGGTTTTTGTTTAATACCGAGTCTTCATAATAAATTTTCGGCCAATATAGTACGTAATATTATTTGAAAACAAAATTCAAGCTATCACTTTACGTCCAGCTTTTTTTTTTTTTTTAATTTGTTCTCCCTATCACCCTTACGAGGCTTTTGCCAGTTCGCAGGACACATGTGGAAATCTGTATGTGATTTTAAAATTTTAATGAGTTATATTATTAATTAACCATAATTAATACAGTTTTATTTCTAAATCTTGTGCAGTACATACATAAATTGCTTTGTAATATATACTAATAGTTTGTCTATCTCGTATATTCCCAGAAAGGAGCCTTATTCTGTTGAGAAAAAAAATGATGTATTGTATAGCGAGTTTAAAATGAATTATATTATTTGTAATTTGTGAAGACATGACTTGTCAAGTTGATGATATGCAGATTTCAAGAGATATACAGATTTTAAGAAGACCTCCTGAAGAGGGGAACTAAACTTTTCACACAGCGCATATAATCCTATGTCGAGTTCAATAAAAAGATAAAATGAAGCGAAATATTTCTTGACACAATTTATTCTGGTGTCTGCTAGAAAATGAGTTATATTTTCTGGAACTAGTAGTCCCCTCTCAGAGACTAATATACATGATTTTAATTTCAAAAGCTGACGGTCCCTGCCGCCCAGCACAATCGCATTCAATATTGATTTGCTACGTAGAAACTACGATGTCTATCATTTTTTTTTTTTTCCAAATAAGAGTGATGATGAGGGTAGATCAAATAATTTCTTTTAGCACAACGAACAGTTCCATGCACTTGCGGGACTCATTCATATATTCTTTGCGGGGGCTTATTTTATTTTAATACTACATGAGAATCCTAACAGGAAATTAATAAAATGTTTATCAGTCATTTTCAAAAGTGATTTTATTCTTCTTAATACTCCTCCAGTCCTTAATATAAGACCCATTTAACTAATTTGATTAGATTAAGGAAGTTAGGTAAGTTAGTTAATTATAAGAAAAGTAACACATTTTTTCTAAAACACCATAATCATCTTTCTTAATACCCTCTCTCCCTCTTCTACTTGATTTTAATTAAGGGAGTATCTACAGGGGTAATTTAGAGAACATTAATAAATATGAGAAATGGGTCTTACATTTAGGATCAAAACTAACTCAAAAATTGGATCCTATATTAAAAACCGGAGGAGCATTAACTAATGGCTTTTTCATTTCCCATGATAAATTACAACAATGAAATACAGGATACTTCTTAAATGCTATACGAATCTTTTAGACTCAACTAGTTAATTTTTAATCGAGCACAAATTAAGAGCTTTGCTTTCCTTTTATTATTATTATTATTATTATATTGGAGAATTGGGGACTGAGTTTCAAATCCTCATATACAGTTACGTCTAGTGGCAGGTGCAACCAATTTGTCCAATGTCGTGAAAGATAATACGGGGAAATAGGAAACTTATTCTGAGTTATCCAAAACTAAAATTCAACAAATAATGGGTACGTACAACACCATATTGTGGCCCTCCCACGCATAAGTGTTATGAAAGATAATAGTTTCTCACGAATTAATGATCTTTTTATATCTAATTAAACAACTTAACCATCTGCTAATTTGCTAATATACTGGTGTAATATAAAACACTATTACCTCCAATTCTTAATATAAAAGCTAGTTGATTAATTTGCAAAAATTAATAAAATTTGTTAAGTAAGTTATTTGTAGCAAATTACTATCTTCTCTAAAATATCCTTACTAATCTAATATATTAGTTTTAACATTTGACAAAATCTTTAACATGTGTAACAAATACAATAATTACCTTGAACAAAATAAATAAATA